CAGCAGCCATCATGCGTGAAGCATAGAAGAAGGCCATGCGGCCATCGTAGAACTCGACCAAGCCGACAGCGTTGTCGCGGTCATTGTGCTTACGCAGATCAGGTTCGACGGCTGTGATGCCTACGGCCGATACGGACTTCACTTTGCAGTCGTCGCCGAAGAACCAGAGTGTGAGGTCGATGTCGTGGATGGAACAGTCGACAAAGATTCCGCCGGAAAACTCTGCGTATGCGACGAAGAACCCGCTCGGGTCGAGTTTGTCGCAGGTTTGGCTGCGGAGTACCGATGCAGTGCCGATTGCCCCTGACTGCATCTTCTGGTATGCGTCTCGGTAGGACTTGTCGAAGCGACGGGAGAAACCGCACATTACTTTGAGGTGTGGCTTCTTGGCTGCTGCATCGATGACAGATTGGGACTGTTCAAGAAGTGGATTGTTAGTCACTAGTTTCAATATTTTGGTTCTTTATCTTCAGTGGATTAGACTGATTAGGGGTGAGATTGATTCAAAATACAACCAACTTACCACTTCAACACTTGTAGAGATAGGCTTTTCACAAAGAACGTGCTTGTCGGCTTCAATTGCCTTGATTGCCTGCTCGGCATGCACTGCGGTTGCCGATGCTACTACCACGGCAACCAGACCTTCATGCTTTAGCATGTCATCGTAATTTTGGTAAAGGCGTACGCCAAAGGGTTCGAGGTGAGTCTTGGCCCATTCGAGTTCGACGGGGTCAGGGGAGCTGGCAGCCACAAGCTCAGCTCGAGGAGTACGCTCCAGGAAGTTTAGGGCATGGCGCTTGCCCATACGGCCTAGACCAGCACAGCCGATCTTCAATCTTTGGGCAGTCATTGTGTAAAATATATGAGTCAAGGAGGTCAAGGAGGTCAAGAATATCAAGAGTATCAATGAAAAATAAAAATCAATTGCTAATAAAGGGGAATTTTGAAACTGCGCTGTTGTTATAAAGTCGGAGCTAAATGCGGAGGCCAGTCTCCGAAGATCATCTCCGCAAACGTGGGGTCGGAAAGTGAATTCCACACCGACGAACTCCAATATTATGACCTCCGGACATAAAAAGAGTACATTAAACCCGTTAATTCACTTCCGTGTCGGATTTCTTCGATTCCCGTCGCAATTTGCGTTTTGCAATATCCACTGGATCCGCAAATCCATCACCTCTCAGCCAACTCAGAGCCTTACGCAGTCCACGGCCCTGCACGGCCTCGGGGTTCGCCTCAAGGATCGACCCCATAAGTGCCCAAGATAGAACAAACAACAATAGCTCACCGCTTCTTCGGCCCTTCCATAGTCCACGCTTGACCCCTGTCTTGTATGCCGAATCAACAGCAGCTCGGAAGAACCAGAGGAACGTGCTGCGACTATTTCCCAGGAACAAAAATGGTAGACCGCCTAGTGCTCCACTAAGGAAGAATCGCTTGGTAGGAAGTGTTGTTCGGGGCAAATTGTGGTCTAGAAGACAGACACTACCCCAGGCTGAGCCAATTGCAGCAGATAGAACAGCTGTCATAGTGATAATACGCTTCGAGATAGTGTTCACTGATGAAATAGGCTGAAGCAGAATGCTCTTAAGTTTGGGGATCGAAAGCGCCAGAGTGACAGTTGTGAGGAACCGCGCAAGCGGTGGCACGGAGAGGAGAATATGATGCAAGAATGCCGTGCTGCAATTAGGGAGGTTCGGGTGCAAGAGAGCACATGATAGACTTGAGATTGCAGGGTGTGCTGGTCCAGTGATTGGAGAGATAGAAATCACTGAGGACGGTAAGGTGTTGGGGTCGCCCGGGTGTAGAATTGGAGAAACGAATGCCCTATGACATATTAGCGACCACTATACTCATGAACAGACTTGGTTTCAAACATACGGCCAGCGGAGATCAGCAATAGAGGCAAGGGAGTCCACGATCTCTTCCTTCTCAGGCCAGGCGACGTTGGCTGGGAGCGACTCCGGTCGGCCTTGGATATAGCTCGGCGAGAGCCTCAGAATGACCTTTCCAAACCACTATGACATCAAATTAGCGACCGTGACTCAAACCAAAAGAATCCCGACCACAAACATTAGGTGTAGTTTCGCGATCAAACACAAAGGCATGGAAGAGCTGCGCAAATGAAATTGGCATCAACAGCCAGCTGCCGAACCACCATGGTCGCTTATCCAACCAGCCTTTAGAGTCTAGGACATTAAACAAGAATTCCAAACTCCTAGTGCCAGTGTAAATTGCCGCAGTCAGTCGAAGCTGGTCCTGTGGGCAGATGCCTAGGGCGAAACCCGCCAGACTTGCGCCAATCGCTGGCGCAAAACGCGAGGTCAGCGCGCGCGACACACGCGGGTTGCGCTCTCTAAATGGCTTTGCATCGTCAGTGCGGAGGTTGGCTCGCAGTCGGATGAGGAAACGGTAGAGTAGACGATGTATGAGAAGGAGGAGGGAGAGGGAGATGGAGAGACGAAATTTGGGAGACCGGAGGAGGGGGGTTCGGATCTTTTTCCTGTGAGCCAATGTTAGTTCTTACCCCTAAGAGAAGGAGTCAATAGATTAAATTGATCTTACTGTGGAGCGCCTTGGAACCGAGTGATCAACAGATCCGCCAACTTCAACGCGATTCCAGAGCCGACAAATACTCGCAGCGATGAGCGAATGGCAGCTTCACTGTGTCGATTCTTTGGGCGGGCGATGACATCGTAGCGAGATGGAGATGGGAGCTTGTCTTGAATGACAGGGGCGCGTTTAATCACATATTCATGGAGAAATCGGTATTCTTTGGCGCTAAGAGACACGCGGAGAACGTCGCGTAAAGCTTGCGGTGGGAGGTCCAGCGCATCCCCTGGGACTGAATGCTTGTCCGTGGACATGTTTGGTTCCAAGTTAGAGCATAACAGATGAAGTCCGGGGATGAGAAGAGGAGAGGGGGTTCCGCTCTAAAACGCGGAGAAGCCCGACCTCGGCAATTCTCTACCACATGGAGAAAAAGATCATCTTTTTCTCAACATATTATGGATCTATATATATTTAGACAATCTTACTTGCTATCAAACAAGTTTCACTTAAAGATCCTCGCCATAAGCCGATTGGACCTATTCTCTCGCTTCGCCCCAGATTTAAGATGAACCTATCCTCAATACCAAATGAGCAAATCATCACTCGTCATACCGGTGCGATCGAAAACACTGTCAAGTTTGCCCTATGAGCAATTAGACTGGTCTGGGTAATCTGGAGGGAATATTTAATTGTTTCGGAAATAGTGCTTATTCGATTTTGAGCATAAAATTGCACGCTTTCTTATGCTTTGCCTGCTACGGGCGACTAAATGGACCCTCGGAACATAACCCTCTAAGCCCTATGTTGGAAGTATAGTATGCAGTCTATTTTACTCCTACAATTTTATCAACTTGCCTGAAGGTGTATCCCAGCTAGAGTCATGGATGGTATTCTATGCCTTAGAAAATGAGCACTGAAATGTGACATTACTTTCATACGTCTTCCTTTTATACAATGGCTTCATCCCAACAGAATACCCCAGAGATCATATATCTGGGAACTGGAGGACTAGGAGAGTCAATATAAATGATTTCTGGGGCATTCTGTTAAGAGGAAGCTATTGTATAAAAGGAAGACGTTGTATGAAAGGAAGATAAATCGAGGATGCAAGGAAAAGGAGGATTTATCATCTATAAAAAGCAAATAATCGTGCCAAGCGGCCCAACACATTTCCAGTGTTGGGGCACCCGAAAGAAGGCTATTTCCAGTATGGAATTCAACTGGCTTTTGAGGAATATGTATAGAAGTATCGACGAAAGCGCGGATGTGAATTTGACAGCGAGGAATCAACTGTTATTGATGATGTTGGTATTCCAGCCTGACGACCGGCCAATATTCAAGGAGGTCGTCCAGTCAGAGTGGATGGTCAAATAGCATTACCTCAATTAAAGCGGAATTCGCAGACGAAGTAAATAGGTACCTATAATCACTGCATCTTATGTTCTTGGCTACATGTAGCTGAAAACTGTGCCATGCATTTACTCTTGGTAGATAGAGCACTTTCTCAACAATATTGTTCTCTCGAGATACAGGAAAGGAAAGAAAAGAGAGAAGTACTTCTGATATCAAATTGCCCCACGGTCCAAAGCCACAGTGGAGAATCTTCAGGCCTATAACTTGGATGGAGCACCATCACCCCATCTGAACGGAAGTCCACGGGTATTTTCTGTCTAGAATCAGCATTTGAAGACTATAATAGGTGTGCGAGCATCTCCGGTAAAACTAAGTACAAAGTTTCAATGTTGGTTGATAATTGTCTCCGTAAAAGGGCACCAATTAAACAAAACACCGGAATCAAAGAGTGGACTTATGTTTCAGCGCCACAATATTTATGCCTGGGTCTATATGTATGACTAGCCCTATATCGAAAGTTCTTTAAATTAAGTGCTTGGCGTGAAACACAAGCTCAATAGAGCTCCACATGGCTTTCAACAATGAAGTTCCACATGGTCGAAGACCATGTGCATCCATGGATACAATCTAAGATATCTAATTGGGCAATAACCAGTTCGTCCCAGTCCAACATGTCTCGGACAATTTAGCCGATGATATCCCGAAGATAATTATTCCGGCATCGTTGTCACAGTCAACTCGGTGGATCTAAAGGTTTCGGAAAATTGCCAGGATGGGCATAGCTAGCACTAAGAGATGAATTCAATGTCTCTCTAGGCCTCCTGAATTAATCCAATGAGTTCTCCGACTAAGTATAGGCGTCAACCTCATGTCAGATGGTGATAGTCCCGTTTCATAAGTGCACTAGCGCAAAGACTCGAAGCAGGACCCTCTGCAGGCCAAGCATTTAAATATCAAGGCCAAGCCGGGTGGAATAGCTTATTCAAACACATCTATTCATTCATTCTCCTCATTTCCTATCATATTCAATTGGGCTAGTCCCGAACATTTACACTCTTTTATTACTTGTCTGTTGATCGGACATCTACTTCAACATGCGTACATCTATCATTTCCATGCTGGCCCTCGGCGCCGTTGTGTCCGCTGCCCCAGCTCCTTCTCGTGTTTCCGAGATCGTTGAGCGCTCGTCCTCAACCTGCACGTTTAACTCGGCTGCCAGTGCCAGCGCTAGCCAGAAGTCCTGTTCTACCATTATCCTGGACAACATCGCTGTCCCTGCCGGCAAGACTCTCGACCTTTCCCACCTGAATGACGGCACCAAGGTAGATATCTCAGTTGTCCAAATGCCAATAACGAAATATCTAATAGCTTTTATATAGGTCATCTTCAAGGGCGAGACTACCTTCCAATATGCTGAGTGGAAGGGTCCTCTCATCCGCTTCGCCGGCTCAAACATTGAAGTCAGCGGCGCAGAAGGCCATGTCATCAACTGCGACGGAGCCAGATGGTGGGACGGCAAGGGAACTAATGGCGGAAAGGACAAGCCCAAGTTCTTCTACGCCCACTCCCTGGACCATTCATCCATCACTGGCCTGAACGTCAAGAACACCCCCGTGCAGGCATTCAGTGTCCAAGCCGACAACCTGGTCCTCGACCACATCACCATCGATAACTCTGACGGTGATAAGAATGGCGGTCACAACACCGATGCCTTCGATGTTGGTGAGAGCACCCACATCACCATCAGCAACGCCAACATCAAGAACCAGGACGACTGCCTGGCCGTCAACTCTGGCGAGGTAAGCAGTAAAACGATATATTTACAATCGCAAATCAACTAACCAATTGTCCATTAGAACATCAGCTTCACCGGCGGCTACTGCTCCGGCGGCCACGGTATCTCCATCGGATCCGTCGGTGGACGTGACAACAATGTCGTGAAGGACGTGACCATCTCCGACTCAACTGTGACCAACTCCGCCAACGGCGTGCGTGTCAAGACCATCTACAAGGCCACTGGTTCAGTCTCTGGTGTGACCTTCTCCAACATCAAGCTGTCCAACATCTCTTCCTACGGTATTGTTATCGAGCAGGATTATGAGAACGGTAGCCCTACCGGTAAACCCACTACTGGTGTCCCCATCACCGGCCTGACTGTCGAGAAGGTCACTGGTACCGTTAAGAGCAGCGCTACTGACATCTTCATTCTTTGCGGTAGCGGTAGCTGCTCTGACTGGACCTGGGCTGGAAACTCTATCACTGGTGGTAAGACTAGCGATAAGTGCAAGAACGTGCCTTCTGGTGCTTCTTGCTAGATTTCTGGTGATCAAATGGTGATCACAGATTAGCATAATACCAACCAGGCAAATACCAGCTATCTTGAATGCAAATTCTTTTGGTTGATCTAGGGGATGATGAGGTGAAATATACTGTTAGTCGCATTGTCCTTTTGGACACCTTTGTACCTATACAGCCATCCATACATGGTTCAAATTGAATGCTTCTCTAACCTATGATACTGTAAAAATATCTGAGATTGGCATAATTTGTACATTCAATTTCTACACAATGTTTCTTCGCAATTATAAATCAATGCCAAGTTCAACGTGATCCATGGTGATGACGCAACTCAACAGTTCATTCCCCAATCAACTATCACAAATAAATACCAACGTCCCAGCATCTTCACCCTCTCTCTCACACACACAAGGTCATATCCAAATCTCATCCAAAATGCATGTCCTTCTACTCGGCGGCCATGGAAAAGTAGCCCTCCACCTTACTCCGCTCCTCCTCAAACGAGGCTGGAATGTAACCAGCGTCGTCCGCAACGCCTCACACGAAAGCGAAATTCTATCTCTAGGTCAAGGCCTCAAGGGCACCGTCAAAGTGTTACTATCGAGTCTAGAGGACGTGAAGAGTACTTCAGACGCCCAAAAGGTCATTGATACTGTTGCACCGGACTATGTTGTCTGGTCGGCTGGTATGACACCCCTCACCCCCCTCACCCCGCACCCACTTCTATTCGTTATGAGGACATCAGAACGCACAACATGCACATAAACAATTCCAAGCAAAGAACAGCATAAACCACATATCCCTCTATATCCGCCATGGAAAATTCCCAATTCCCAAGTACAAACTAACACTACACCACAGGCGCGGGCGGCAAAGGCGGTCCAGCACGCACAATCGCCATCGACCAAGAAGCCGCGAAGCACTTTATAGAAGCATCCTTCGCCACACCAGGCATAAGCAAGTTCCTGATGGTATCATACCTCGGCAGTCGACGTAAGCAGCCGAGCTGGATGCCGGACGACGAATGGGCGGGGATAGTAAAGACTAACACGGAAATCTTGCCGACGTACGCGAAAGCAAAGCAAGAAGCCGACGAGTACATGACAGCACTGGCTGCGCAGCGGAAGCGTGCGTCTGGTCAGATCCGGCCTTTCCAGGCTATCAACCTGCGGCCTGGGATCCTGACTGACCAGCCTGCGACGCGGAAGGTCGAGCTAGGTATCACGCCTAAGGGTCGGGGAAGTGTTACTCGGGAGGATGTGGCGATTGTTGCAGATCTTTTGCTTGCTAGGGCTGATACGGAGGGGTGGATTGATCTTGTTAATGGGGAGGAAGAGGTTGAGGGGGCTGTTGAGAGGGTTGCGAGGGAGAAGGTTGATGCTGTTGTTGGGGAGGATGTTGAGGGGATGGTTAAGAGGTTTTTCCCCTAGATTGGATTCGAGGTCGAGTCTCTAAGTTCCTATACTAGGAAAGGGCTTGGTATTGGATATGGATATGGATATAGGTACTTTTCGGGTCTTACATCATTGAAGTATAAAAACCACCATGAATATGAACATGAACGGATCTAATGCATATATTGTGTACCTATCTAAGAGAAATCATTTACAGCCTGGCTTTTGGTGTCTCGGCTGCCCCCTTGAACTTCTGCTTCAGAATCCGACGCAGGATCTTCCCACTGGGATTCTTGGGGATCTCATTCACAAACTGTACACCACCACGCAGACGCTTGTGGCTGGCGACCTTGCTATCCAGCCATTTGATAATGTTCGCTGCTTCATCCTTCTCGCTTATTCCAGAAGACTTGCTCTTCGCGCTGCGAACGACACAAGCCATAGGAACCTCAGAACCGTGCGTCTCACTCTCAATGCCAATGACAGCAACATCATCGATGGCATCGTTGTCAACCAGGTATCCTTCCAGCTCAGCAGGAGGCACCTGGAAACCCTTATACTTAATAAGTTCCTTAACACGATCGGTAATGTAGAAATTGCCCTTGGTGTCCTGGTACCCAACATCGCCAGTCTGGAACCACCCATCCTCAGACAAGCAGCCCTTGGTAGCCTCTGGGTTCTCGTGGTAGCCCAAGAAAACGTTAGGTCCACGTAGGTACAATTCGCCAACCTTGCCCACGTCAACCTCCTTAGGCTCGGATCCATCCTCGGGCATAGTCATATATTTAGCTTCCATATTAGGCATCAAGCGGCCAACAGAACCCATGGCCACGCGCCAATCCTCCCATCGCTGAGAGTGCGTGGTTGGGCTGGTCTCGCTGAGTCCGTAGCCCTGCTTGATGCCAACCTTGATGCGGGAGTAGACTGCCTCGACCAGCTCTTGCGTGAGAGGAGCGGCGCCGCAGTTCATCATGCGAAGACTGGAAAGGTCATACTTGTCGACGACCGGGTGCTTGCCTAGCAACAACACCACAGGAGGCACGATGTAACTAAATGTGCAGCGGTAGTTCTGCACGTGTGCACACCACTTTTCAATGTCGAATTTCGCCATGACGATCAAGTGATAACCCTTGTATAAAGCCTGGGTAATTAAGCAGGTTAATCCTAGAGGCTTGTAGTTAGTATCTTGTTCGAGCATCGCAATTCGAAAGCCATACCATAGATATGATAGAACGGCAAAAATGCCAGAACCCGATCACCCTTTCCATCATGACCACCATCCCAACTCAACATTCCACCCTCGCCAATGTACTGCTGTCTAATATTGGCGACGATATTCAGATGCGACAACATGACACCCTTAGGCACACCCGTGGTCCCAGACGAATAAACCAAGAACGCCACATCCTTCGCAGGATTGATCTTCTGCTTACGGTAGCGGGTCGCACCAGAGATATTGCGCACAGAGGTAAAATGCTTGATTCGCGCATCGGGATCCCGCTGGTCTCCAATCAGAATAATGCGGTCCTCAGACATGCCGACTCTCTTTGCGGCTTCCTTCGCAACAGGCAGCAGCTGTGCTTGCGTTACAAGTCCCTTGGCACCGGAGTTCTTGAGCTGGAAGGCCAGCTCGTCAACCGTGTAACCTGGGTTCGCAGGTGACAGAATGCCGCCAGCCCAAAGTGTGCCCCACATCACCACGGGTGTGTCGATGCTGTTTGGCGTGAAGAGGGCCAGTACATCGTTCTTGCGCCATTCATGGAGGGCTTTCAAGCCCTTTCCAAAATCTAGAGAGGCATCGCGGAGCGACTTGTATGTGTAATGGCGTTGTGTATCAGCATCTTGATAGAGAACTGGTAGGAGTCAGTAAGGAAATTCAAGAGAAATCCTATATTCAAGCGTATGCTTATCACGCACTCTTATCATCTGGATAAGCTCTATCCTTGCGCTCAAATAGAAAGGTCCAGAGGTCCACTTCTGGGATGTCGACCAGGGGGTAATTGGAGGAGACAGGCATGAGGGAATAGAATTAAGTCGGAAATGTGGAGAGAGGAACCTTGCAAGTAGTGGACATGAGCAAGGTACCGACTACTTAAAGAAAGGTACTTCTCCGCACTCTCGGCTCGCGGCTTGCCTCGGCCATCCGCATTAGAACTCAACCGAAGGACCCAATTAAAAAAAAGCTTTGTTGGGATTTTACGCCTTTCAGAATTGGATTGGAAGTTCCAGTCTACTACTACATAATTCAATTAATCATCTACTCTGTTGATGTTTGTGCAGGATAGCCGTTGATATCATCGAGATATCATTTAGATCTTTGAGGTCGGCACTCGGAGATCTCGGCGGTTTGATCGCCTCCACAGTCGTCGATCGCCACCTTGACCGAGTCCCGAATGAAAACAGTTGAGTAGAAGCGGGAAATATAAAGATATCTCGAATAGAAAGTTGATATATGAACTATGCTAGGATGTGAATGATCTAGCACTGTTTCTGAACGGCCGACTCGCCATTGTAGAAATATATATATTTAGGGCTACATATATTTAGTCATGGCTAGCGATACATTACAACGATATTTTACTGGAAAAGATATTGCCAGTTCTTGCTAATTTATATTCAATATCTTATTTACACGCGATGCCCACCCAATGAACCTAACTAGTGACAAATTGAATGAGACATCCCACTTCCCCAGAGTAAAGGTTGCGGAGTCCAAGTTGTGGAGTAGTTCACAGTAATACAACATATGGACTAGTCCCAATAAATCTAATGACCTAGACTTATTGTCAGAAGACGGGGTTGAATGTTGTCTAGAGTGCCGCTGTACTGGGTCTACAATGTGCCTGGAAATGAAATTTGTAGTGTCGTTAAGATTTAGACTCCTTCCCCGATGACACTAAGCGAGACGAGGAAGGAGTATCTTTTTTTACCTCGCCAGATTTGACGAGGGACTAAATCCAGATCCAAGATGATTCATGCCGACAAGATCTTAAATTGAGTTGGAAACAGCTGACCCGCACTGGAAATACATGCTGAAAAAAAGAGCCCAGTTGAGAGTTTTGCTGAATTCCATTTTTGCTTTCCCAGCACCATTTCCTCCACACGCCACTCCGAGGGGAATCGTTTGAAATCGTTTACTTGAGGGGAATGAAACGGGAAGAGTGGGTGGCACCGATACCGGGACGACCGTGCTTGACGGGCTTGCTGGTAGGTTGTTAGTGATTTGGTGGTAGTTGTGGGGAATCTAGGGAGCACATACTAAGAGATAGAGAACTCAGCCAGGTAGTGGCCAACCATCTCGGGCTTGATCTCAACCTGGTTGAACTCCTTACCGGAGTAGATACCGACGACGGAACCGATCATCTCGGGGACGACGATCATGTCACGGAGGTGGGTCTTGACGAGATCGGGCTTCTCGTTGGGCTTGGCCTCCTGCTTGGCCTTGCGGAGCTTCTTGATGAGACCCATGGGCTTGCGCTTCAGGCCGCGGTTGAAACGTCTGCGGGCACGGGCGTGAACGACATCACGGAGCTGCTCGGAGGAAAGGTCGAGGAGCCTGTAGAAGGATTCTGTTAGACCAATGTCCTTTAAACTTTCGGTCCTTTATCCATTCGCAATGCAGCGCCCCAGAGGCGAGAAGTGAAATGCCACATGTGATTCATCCGCAATGGTTGTTGACATGGCATATGATCATATTCAAATCCGTCTCACGAGGCACTGGCTGCGAATGGATGCTCAAGGTTCGATGGTTGGCAATGGTAACGTACTGGTCGAGGTCAATGCCGCGGTAAGAGAACTTGCGGAACTGCCTTCTCTTCTTGATCTCTGTTCGGCGAAGGTTCAGTCAGCGTCTGCGATCATTGTTGTAGTGTGTCTGCTGTATCCCAGGTCCATGTCGTTCCCCGCTAATGTATATTTCTTCACAATATTCATCGTATAGTTGATCGTAATGCGCATCCTCTCCTCTCATTCGGGTCTTCTGTCCATGGGCGATAGGTGGGGATAGGGGTTGATTCTTCATAACGTACCGGCAGCCTCCTCGGCGTTCTAGATGAAAACTCCATGTTAGTATATCGCACGGGCTTGAAGGCCTAGGACAAAAAAAAAAACTCACGTATTCGATGTCAGCCATTTTTGCAGATATTCCTGTAAACCGCCTTTCGACCGTATCTCGAAAAGCGAAGGAAGATGAGTTGTCGGAAATTGTCGTGTCGCTGAGCGGTCGGGCTGCTAGCACACAGGCTCTACGAGGTGGGCAGCGCTCGTTAAGCGACGGGTAGGTTCCAAGCCCTAGACACTATACCCTTTTGGGTTACATGTAATCTATTTTGAAATATTCGTTTTTGCCTTGTAACAGAATTCTTTGTAATCTTGATTTACTCCATTTTGCTTGGGCATGCCACCTAAAATGCTTGTACTTTTAAATGTCATTTATTGTACTATGATTACCCATCACGCTCCCGGGGCTGACATACACGTTGTATCACAATCGGAGGTTGTTGATGGTCCTTATCTGAGTACATTTAATTATCATGACGTGGATAGTGAAGCTGAGCCTCTAGTTCTCCAAAGAGAATTTGGCTACACGCTATTGCTTAGACGTTGAGCGGGTCCCGGCGATCTTTCAAGAACTACGTATTAAAAATGAGAAAAGTTGTAGTCAAGGTCAGACGAATCGTATTGGCTAGTAGGAGCTTATTCCAGCTCACATGAAGAGTTGCAACTGTATCAAAACAGTCTTAACCAAACATACTTGAGAAGCCAACCGGCGCAAATCTTGCCCGGACTGACGAACCAACCAAACATCTGTTCCCCAGAACCATGATTTTTAGGCATTCGATTAAAGCGCTTAATCGAAGAGACCGAAGCCCATATCCTCATCGGACTCCTCCTCCTTCTCCTCGACCTTCTCCTCAGCGGGAGCGGCGGCACCACCGGCAGCGGCAGCGGCAGGGGCAGCACCGGCACCAGCACCGCCGGTGGGAACGGAAGCAAGCTTGGTAGAGCCCTCAGCGATCAGCTATATAGAAAGTCAGCATGCGGTTCACGTCAGATATATGCGAATTCGATCACTAACCTCCTGGAGGTCCTTGCCCTGGAGCTCGGAGATGACCTTCTCGAGACGGTCACCCTCAGCATCGATACCGACGGAGGAGAGGACAGCCTTGATATCGTCGGAGGAGGGGGCCTCGTTGCCGGCAAGGGCGAGGAGGAGGTAGGCAGCGAGATACTTCATTTTGAAAGGACTGGGCAAAAAATCTTCATTAGCAACAAAGTTCAAGATTGGATGCGATCGCACTTTTCATGCCGCGAAATCGGCTGATAGACACGAAAATGAGATTTGCATACCGTTTGTGATTATTATCTGAACAAGAGAAACAATCGATTTAACCGCGAATTGGGCGGAGACTGCAACGTCGAGTTCTGGTGGAAAGAGGTTGGTTGACGAAGGATTAACCGAAGGCTCAAAATCTGGAAAAAAAGGTGGTGCGAGTGGGTGTGGCTAGTGTCGGCGGGACTTCTAAGCGAGTAGGTGTGGCGCAGGGTGTTTGGTATCACGTGACTATCTCATATCCGGCCTTGACAATTGAATGTTGGCTTATACACCTTTCTGCCTACCACTCGCCACGCAATATATACCTCTCTGCCTAGAAAGCTCTTGGGCCAAGTCAGGCGTGTCATTTGCTTGTGACAGTTCTGTTATATTGGAATAACAGAAAATCCGGAACAAGCCAAGCTAGAGATCTATTCTCATGGTATCGGGCTCGGAGTCATGAAGTTACTTAGTCGTACCAAATATCGACGGTGAGCGACTTCTTCTCTGTACCACTCTTCGACTTTACACTCCTCAGGATATTGCTCCTATAAATCCACAATGAGTGTATGACTACCTATCTTCCTCTTTGTTTCGGTTTATTTCATTTTTGACTGACATATAATAGTTTCTCGATTCCGTTCTCTCGTCTCTTCAGACGGGTAAGCCCGCGCAACTGCCACCAACTCAGGCACCTACCTCGCCTGCACCTGCTTCAATCCCCAAAAAAGAGGATCGAAAGCCGATCGCTGTGCGTCAGGCGCCTCCGACCAGTGGGAATATTAGTGGAGGGATTAAGCGCAAAGCTGAGGACCAGCTGCCCCGGGCACCAAAACCTGAAAGCAGGGCGACAAATAGCCCTGCTGGAATGAAGCCTATGCTTACCACGAAGCCAACTGTACCATCCACAGCAACAAAAGTTGCGCCAAAACCAGCCTCGGCCAACATCCCCAAGCAAGCCCTGTCCAAGCCTACCCCTAAACCTAGCTTGGCTGCGGCCCCCAAAGTGGCATCTTCGCAGAAGGCGCCCAACTCCAGACCCACCCCGGCAGCCGCTCCCACACAATCGAAGCCGCCACCCAAAGGATCTTTTGCGGAGATAATGGCCCAGGCAAAAGCTAAGCAAGAGACGGTACCTGTGGGAGTAGGCCTACTACGCCACCAAGCCGGTCCCAAAGAGAGACTTACCAAAGTGGAGAGAAAACGGCGCATGATGGAAATGCAGGCAAAAGAGAAAGAAGCGCGATCGGGAAGGAAAGCTGGACCGGGTGTTTCTGCCAAGGATAAGCCTGCTATCCGGCAGCGTGATTCACAGGAGCCCTCATACAAGGGCACGGCCAAGCCGACTCAAACTCCCGAGCCACCTATCTACCGTGGAACTGCGGGCCTGCCGTCAAATCGTGGCGGAAAAGACCGTCGATACCAGTCTCGCAACTCCCGCCAGAACGAATATCTCGGAACTGACGAAGAAGATGAGGGCGACCTCGGTGGCTACGACGATTACTACTCCGATGCATCATCCGACATGGAGGCTGGAATAGATGATGTCGATCGCGAAGAGGCGGCTGCATTGGCATATGCCAAACGAGAGGACGAGAAAGAGCTGCGGGCAGAAATGGCGGCTAAGAAAGAGAAGTTGGAGCGCCAGCGGAAATTGGCTGCTCTTGCTTCTCGAGGCAAGCGTTGAAGTTTGGGATGTTCTCATACTCTTCAATTTCTTTACTTTTTTATACTTCTGAGTACTTTTGATCTCTTTTGTTTTGGGTAGGACTACATATTAACTCCGCATTATGAGCGTTCGGGGTGTCCATAGACGGGGCCTTCATTTATTGTTTCTTCTTTGAAGCACCATCAGTAGCGAGCGCTATTCCAATATCACCTTCATCTTTTTTTTTTTTGGACTATGGTGTACTTACGTAGTTACATTTTATATTGAAGTCATCGGCTGTCCCGTTGAACAACCTTGGAACTACAAGCTATGCCCCACTTGGGTGACATCACCCACCTCATAACCTTCAGAACTTATCTTGGTATCTTCTACAATATATTCCACTTCAACACATTCTATCATGGAGTCCGTCCATCATGTCTCGGTTTCATCAAAGGTGCTCTTCAGCAAGGTGCGCAAGATTGTACCTCCAATGCTTGAAAGCTTCCACAAAGGTCCGTCGATCGGGTTGGAGTAATCGATATCCGCTGACTATTAGTCTAGGACAGCTCGGCCGTGTAGCCGTTATTGGAGGCTGCGTTGAGTACGTTCTCTACCAAACGACAATAGTATCCTACTAACTCTTAGAAGCTACACCGGAGCTCCATACTTTTCAGCAATGGCCTCTGCAAGACTTGGTACGTCCCCTAAACAAACCCATATCCTCCACCAAATATGTTGACTCTCGAATTACAGGATGTGATATGGTATGCGCTAAGGATTATATACCTTTTGCAAAAGACTAACGGCCACCAGAGCCACGTACTCTGCGAACGATCCGCTGCACCGGTAAGCTAACATCCGGCCTACATCGAACCTACTCTAAAATGTTATGCACAGGTTATCAAGGGATACTCTCCCAATTTGATGGTACACCCATTGCTTCCAAGCTGTGACACTGTGAAGGATCCCAATTCAATTGATGCACCATCACTGGCGGGTCCGATTATCGGGATGCTATCTCGCCTCCATGCACTTGTGATTGGACCAGGTCTCGGCCGCGACGGCGTGACGCTAAAGGTGGTTGCGGAAGTGATCAAGGAGGCGCGGTCGCGATCCATCCCATTTGTGCTGGATGCAGATGGATTACTGATTGTGACGCAAGACCCGAGTCTGGTCAAAGGCTACAAGGAATGCATTCTCACGCCAAATGTGGTAGAGTTTAGCCGTCTAGCCAAAGCGATGGGTGTCAAGGTCGCCAGCCAAGCGGAGATTGCGGAAGGTGGAAACGGCGACACCACTAGCAAAGCATCAGATGCGTGTGAGCAGCTATCCCAAGCCCTCGGCGGTGTGACGATTGTCCAAAAGGGTCCTCAAGACGTGATCTCCAACGGGGTTACTAGTCTCATCTCTGATGGCAAGGGAGGCTTGAAGCGCAGCGGCGGTCAAGGAGACACTCTGACAGGATCACTGGGCACATTCCTTGCCTGGCGAGCGGCTTATCACGACAAATTGTGGGACTCTGGCGAGCACGACAACGAGAAAGAGGCACAGAGTAAGGAAGAAGTTCAGACAGAGCTCGATTCTGAGACCAAGCGCATGTCCCCAGTAACGACACTGCTATTAGCGGCTTGGGCGGGGAGTAGCATTACACGAGAGTGTTCGCGACGAGCTTTTGCAGCCAAGGGGCGCAGCATGCAGGCCAGTGATCTGACTGATGAGGTTCATGGGGTGTTTTTGAGCCTAATTGGAGAGCCGGACAAGTCTAAGACGCACCTTTAGGCTTCCATGTAAAATGTTACTAGCCATGCATCTATGTACGAGAAAGACTATGCAGCTCTTGGAGCACATCAGATCGTATCTCCAAGCCTCCAGCTGCACGTGAATTCACCAATGAAACATGTTTCTTCCACTATTATGGTTTCCAAAGAGATGTCTACAGTTACCAAAAAGAAGAGTCTCGAACCTGCATTTTGTACTTATTAATCCCGTTCCAATATTGCAATCTCAACCGCCCTGACTTTGTAGGTGGTGAATAGGGCATATTGTCCATGGCTTTCATTTCACCTGGGATAAAGAAACAGCTCATACTATGTGAGTTTCGGCTTTCAGTAATCCATTGATTAGCATGGTTAGCCCCCGTCTTTCGGCGCTCATGCTTGAGACTCGAACCTCGGACCGGCCCTAACTACCGACCATTAGATGAGAATATAATTTTACCGGCCAATAAATGTCATCTGACAACACGACATCATTATGCTGACTCGTGTTATTTGGACCCCCTACTTAGCTGCCCTTGATTCCATGCAGTGTAAATAGAAACCAAAGACAACGTGTCACATCCCCTGCTTCAATCTCGAGTAACCAGTGCCCAACTTTCGCTGTCTGGCTTTCTTTTCATTTACCTTTTGCCACGTCAAACTTGCATAGGAGAAAGTTATTTGCACAAGTCTGACTATATCAAAGAATACCCTACTCGTAAAAAGACTTCAAGCAATGTGAGACAGTTGTGCTTGGCAAGTCAAACTCTCCGCATTTCCATGCGGCTATTGGCGTCGATATCTGAATGTGCTAGGGTATTTGCCTGAGACATGCACCCCGCCTCAAGCCCTCCCTGAATCGATATTGCCAAACCCGAGCAGACTTAGGCATGCTGCTCAAAGGCAATGTTGAGCTAAGAAACCATCGACATCACCTAAACTGATAAGCATTGGTGGTGTTTTAAGGCGCTGTTCCAGACCTCGTGTTCACAACCCCAGCTTTTTTTTGCTTTGCCATCCTGCCCGATCATAGGACATCAGATAGAGGGCCGATACATGATCCCAGAGGTCAACCGCTAACATTTCAATAGTCCAACCGTAGTATCTACGGGTATCCTCTCCTTCACGGGCCAGCGTATACTGGGAAACCCAGGTCCGTGGACCAACCTACAAAGTATACGGGGAAGCCCAGGCCGAAAATGACCTCGTGACGCAACACAAGGCTTATGGGCTTCGCAGGGAATAGAGAGAATAGCTTCTTCCCAAAAAAGGAGCACACAGAACCTAATGATTCACAAAGCATATATGCTCTTGGAGACAAGTATATAAGATGGCAAATGTCCCAGCAGAGGACAACGCCATCAGAAACCAATCCCTCGACACAAGTCGCTAGACCTACTCCAAGTCTATACTTAAATTCAATCATCCATCAAGATGCATTTCTCCATCATCGCCACGGTCATCGCTACCGTCTCTCTTGTGGCCGCTGATTCAACAGGGTCGCCGCCCAAGTGTGGCACCTGCAGCCCTATCTCAGGCGAGAACAAGTGTGACCCGTCGACCTCGTGCATCAACACGGGTACATCCTTCCACTGCGCCTGTCGTGCTGGCTTCAAGGCGTCTAAGTACAATAACGACTTGTACCATCAGTTCCGTCTGCCGATGCCGAACTACGAGTTCCTTGTTTTCGTTCCTGAAAACACACCTTGCAACACCCAGTGTGCCGATCCGTGGGCTGCGCCTTCTGATCTTTGCAAGGAGGTCGAACTTCAATGGAAGTGCCCGGCTTAGTATCAACGGTCCGGGGTAGGAGTGTGTTGGTAGTAGGAGGCGCGACATCCAAACCAATGGGAGTAGTGCGATACGCCCAAAGTCCTGGGTTAGGTCCATAGCGTGAGATAATCTAGCAGATGTTATGTGTGCTTGTCTCCAATCTTTAAAATAAAATTGGTTTAGTTGAATAGAAGAGATGTAAATGCAGATTACAAAAGTAGATTCGTAACCCTTGGAAGGTCTTAACCCTACGAATTCATAAGAACCGACTCCATTTCCCCAATACACCGAAACACCCGCCGTAATTCCAGCCAGTTTCACATGCATCTTAAAACACGTATAAAAAGCCCGATCGACATTTAAGAGAAAAACAGAATGAACTTCACAATTACATGTCCATATCGCCGTCGACTTCAGTGAAGAGCAGACGTGTGCCGTTGCCAGTGACTTGCCAGAGCTATAGAAAACGTTAGTAAATGAGGACATTAAGCTTCTGGAGATATCAAAACTTACGTTCATCTCGGCATATTCATCGATAGTCATGGTAAGGTTATCCTCAGTGAATCCTCGAGCCAGCACGCGCTCACGAATACGTCTCATGCTCATCTCTCCTTCCTCGCCATCTCCAACGGCAGCAGCACCACTCTCCTTCATGCTACGGATCAAGTTGTAGATCTTGCTAGATGGGGTGTTGTCGGCACCCTGCTCGCCGTCATTGTACAGAGAAGCCTTACTGATCTCAATGAGACGTAGAGCCTCATCGACATCCTCGCGAACAACCTCTTCGCTGAAGCGAAGACGAGCAAGGGCCTGCGAAAGACGAACGATACCGAGCAGAGTACGGGGACTGACGTGAGAGAACTGCCTCTTCTTGGACTCATCGATCTTTTGTCTCTTGCGCATGGCCACATAAGCACCAACCATGTAGTCTGAAACGCTGGTAGGTACAATAGGGCGGAATGTGCGTGCCTTGGCAACGTACTGACGGACCTCGTGGGGAGTGAACAAAACGCCGGATTCTTCGTTTTCCGGGTGCTTGTTGTGCATGTGGACGTAAGTGACGTGGTGGGCCAGCTCCTCGTCGCCCTCGCGAGATGGAGTATCCAGAAGCAGGAACATGACATCGAAACGAGAGAGCAAAGCGGCGGGCAGGTTAATGTTCTCCACGGGTGACACCCGAGGGTTGTAGCGGCCATATAGCGGGTTGGCCGCTGCCAGGATGGAAGTACGAGCGTTGAGGGTAGTTGTGATACCAGCCTTGGAAATGGAGATTGTTTGCTGTTCCATCACTTCGTGAATAGCTGTCCGGTCCGAGTCCTCCATCTTGTCAAACTCATCAATACAGCAGATACCGTTGTCTGCAAGAACAAGGGCACCTCCCTCCAGCACCATCTCATCTGTGACGGGATCTCTCATCACTGCAGCGGTGAGACCGACACCACTGCTTCCTCGTCCGGTGGTGTACACGCCACGAGGAGCAACCTTAGTAATGTATCGGAGAAGCTGGGACTTGGCCACACCAGGGTCACCCATCAAGCAGATGTTGATATCTCCACGAATGTGCATGCCGTCACCCATCTCTTTCGTGACACCACCAATCAGGAGCAACAACAATGCCTTCTTCACATCAAGGTGCCCGTAGATTTCGGGTGCAATCGACCGTGAAAGGTACTCGTACATGTTACCGGAGCGCAAGTGCTGCTCAATTTTGCGGAGAGTACGGCTATCCATACCCATCTCGTTGTAGGACTTCTTGTGCTGGGTGATGTGCTGGGCTTCCAAGTATGTGTCAGTCAACAGGCCGGCGCGAATAGCGCGGAAACCAGTGTAAGGTGTGGGCAAAAAGATGCCTGCCACGTCAATAACATCACCGGGGTTCAGTTGGCGAGTCAGAGCGCCGTGGCAGTGAATAGTCAAAGTGCGAGGAATATGGCCCACGGGGACCTGGTCGGCCATTTCCTGGATCTTCACCTCCTGGAAAGGGACAAACTTCGATGCACGAGTTGACAGGAAGAGCTGACCCTTTGAATTGTTCTTCTTGCATTCTTCTGACAGACACTCGGTCAAGGGAAGGAATTGCTTGGTGGTGATGGGCTGGAACACTTCGCAGCCACAGCGATCGCAGGTGTAGGCGTTGATCTGTACAGCTGGCTTGACATCTGAGACGCGGGTGGTGATACCGCGGACTGTAATCAAGGTACCCAGGTGCTCACCACGAACATAGCGGACGGCGAGGGCCTTGGAAGCGCGCTCGGCGCTAGACCCCGAAGGTGTGAGGGGCTTGAAGTTGAGGGTATATCTGCGAGTGAGCTCCGGAGGGAACATCGCTGGGGCGGTCGCAGCAGCGTCCATGTCGGCCTCCATTGCAGTTTCCATAGTCTCATTTCGCTTCTCACGCTGAGACATGATCACATCAAGCACATCATCTTTGAACCTGCGCACCAATTAGTTTAGCAGCCAGTGCATTCGCATAGAAACAAATTCGACATACGTGACATCCTTCGTCTCCCTGGGCATAACCTCATCGACCGCTTGAGAAACAACATCGATATAGCGTTTTGTGTTCTTTTCGATAGATTCAACGAGCTTCAGGTCTTGTCCCTCGGGCATGGATTTCTCGAACTATTACCATTCCTATGAGCTGGAATTCAGTGAAGGGGGCTCATATTGGGCACTTACAATTGCGAGGTCATCCAACTCAATCAAGATATTAGATTTATCCCGGTTTGCGATATCTTGCAGAATTTGCATGTACTTGAGCTTCGGCTCCCGGTGTCTCCTTGCTCCACGGGTGTTTCCATTCGTCTCATCAACATCATCCATGAAATCATATTCATCGCTAGTCTGGCCGTCATCGATGTTGAGATCCTCCAAAGCCTCGGTCGCAGCGGCTTCCGAGGACGATTGGAAGGTCTTGAACCCCTGCAAGAAATCCTTAAAGCCACTCAGTTGCGCGGAATAATCCACAGGCGGGGGGTACTGAAGGAGAGACATAATAACGAATTGCGCTCAATTGAAGCGCAAAGAATCGATAGTGGGATTCGGGGATAAATAGAGAAGAGGGTCCAGTGGCTATCCGAGCCTCTTCCAAATTAGCTGGTAAAACGCGAACGCGAGGTCAACACGCGCCCACAAATGACACTAACCTGATTAGGAAAGGTATCAATTATTGCGGACTATCAGTTAATCCGGTTATCGAGGCACGTGTCACATGACTCGTCATCGGGCCGAGGCGAAAGAGAGAGATGTAGTGCGGAGTCCGGGGTCGTGTCTCTCCGAGTTCAGTTCACGGCTCCCCTCCTCCTTGTCTCTCCGCTGTTCACGATCCTCAGTGCTTCAAAATGACTCCCAAGAAGCCTGCTGCGACGGCGGAAGTCGCCCTCATCCCCCTCAAGAACTGTCTTGTTAATCTACCGCCGTCGCTGGTCGCTTTGCTGGTCAATGCAAACACGGTCAGTTTACTAGTTGTTATATTTCTGTGGATTTTTTTTCCGGCTAACTTCTACCTATACTAGACTGCCCAAAATGTTATAATCGAATTACAATATAAATCGACCTCCGGAAAGGCCAATGGAGCTTCTCCACAGCAATCATGCTTCCTCGGTTGGACGGGTATGCCGAGCAAGCGCAGGCTTGCGCCTGTCGTTGGGAGAGACGGTATCAACAGTGGATATTCCAGAGAACAGGAAACCTCCACCGTCGAGCTTGATACTACCTTTGGACGGCTCCTTGGTCTTACAGAAGGCCAGAAGGTACAACACTTCCCGTGCGTCATTACCCACGTGGGGCGCTAACAATTGCAGGTCGGATTGTTCATCCACCTCGATCCACCCGTTGCGCATACGATAAATATTGAGCCATTGACACCAGAAGATTGGGAGAGTATGTCCAAACCATAAACAACTATAATTGAGCTACCATTAACTAGACACTAGTCATCGAACTACACGCCACATTCCTGGAACTTAATCTCTTGTCACAAATTCGCGCTCTACCCAATCCTACATACAATGCAGCGCAATCGGTGCATATGCACCCACTTGCATTGCACCTCTCTCCCACATCCACCGCCAATATTGTCGTCACTTCCCTTACACCCGCTCCCTCGGACGCCTCCCCCTTCGCGAAGATCGCGCCGGATGCAGAAGTCATAGTGGCCCCGAAAGTCCGATCCAAGACAAGCAAAAGCTCTCGGGCGGACAGTCGCAGTGCAGCTGGTAGCAGCAGGAAGAGTGCTGGGGGCAGGAGTGCTTCAAGCACTGTACGCCCGAAGAGTGGTCGGTCCGACTCCAGCACACGAGGCTCCCTCTACTTAAGAGGTGTCGACCGCTCATCAGCCACTCAATATTTTGATGAGGAAATAGAAGATGATGCAAATGAAGGCCTCCGTATTTGGGTTGATCAGGACTTGTTGGCTAGCCATGAGCTGCGCGGAGCGACTTGGGCATGCGTGTCAGTGGTCCAGCCATCCGGTCTCAAACCCCCACCAGATCCCCAGCAGCAACTTGCTCAAGCTGAACAGCAAAAATCCAGTGATGCTGGTGCCACTACAACCAAGCTTGTGGCCAAGTTGCTCCCGTGGGAGGAGGCTCCGGACAATCGACATGCAGCGATGTCCAGCTTGTTGTGCACGGCCCTTAATGCGGAGAACATGGTTGGAGGAATCCTCCGAGTCGAGGCAGCACCTCCACAGCTGCATCGATCCGCAGTCAAGACCCTCAAAGTTTATCCTTTCACAGCTGATGTTTCAAAGAAGAAGGACGGGCTGAAGTTCGGCGCTGACACAGCGGCATCTCGAGATGCCTTGGCCGAGCGCCTCAAGGTCATCTATGGCAGCACTGGTTCCGACACCGGGCTGTTCTCGGGGCCTTTGACTGATGGAATGATTATACCCAAATCCGAGCATCATCCTTCAGTCTCTTCGTTCGATGGTGCTATTCTTCGTTTTGATCCCCCGTTAAAGGGGGCATCAGATGAAACAAAGTCAATGTTCGGATGGTTGCTGGGCTCAGAAGCTAAGCTAAATCTAGAAGTCCAAGCTGAAATCCCCAAGCCATTTGACCCTAGTTCCTCGGTGCTACCTATGGAGGACCCTCTCCCAGAAACTGCTCCTCAACTGGTAGGGATCGATCCTATCATTGAACAGTCATTGAAAAACCTTACGAAATCCTCATCTATCCTGCTTACTGGTGGTCTTGGTGCTGGTAAAACAGCTCTTTCCCAGCTATTGGCCCATCGGCTAAGACGAGATCACCTCTTCAATGTTAAGTATTTCTCCTGCCGCAAGCTCGTTACAGACGAAACACGTATTTCCAACATCAAAGAGACCTTGAACCGGCTCTTCATGTCCGCATCATGGTGTGCGCGTCTTGGTGGCCAGTCAGTGGTGATCCTTGAAGATCTAGACAAGCTTTGCCCAGCAGAGACTGAGTTGCAAGTGGGTGGAGACAATGGCCGCAGTCGCCAGAACAGCGAGGTTATTTGCTCCATGGTTCGACAATATTGCGCGCTGAACTCCTCCGTTGTGCTACTGGCCACTGCCCAGGCCAAGGAGTCCCTCAACAATGTTATCACCGGCGGCCACGTTGTCCGCGAGATCATTAATTTGAGAGCCCCTGATAAGGGAGGACGCCGAAGGGTTTTGGAAAAGCTTACTAGCGAAGATAAACCTACAGAAAGCTCAAATGGGCATGCGAGGGCCGCTAGTTCCTCAACACAAGACTCATGGTTAGACCCTTCAAATCCGGGGAGCCGACCAAGCTCTTCTGGGGGCGATGGCTTCGTTATTGGAAGGGATGTCGAGTATCTAGAGCTGGCTGGCAAAACCGATGGGTATATGCCTGGTGATCTTGTTCTACTTGTTGCTCGTGCGCGCAATGAGGCCCTCATTCGCTCTGTCTCGGATCTGGCAGCAACATCAAAGATGATCACTCTCGGGCGAGAGGACTTTGAAAGTGCCTTGAAGGACTTTACTCCGGCATCTCTTCGCAACGTGACTCTTACCTCGTCAACAACCACATTTTCCTCTGTTGGTGGTTTGTTCGAAACTCGCAAGATGCTGTTGGAAACTTTGCAGTATCCTACAAAATACGCACCAATCTTCGCACAGTGCCCATTGCGACTGCGGTCTGGTTTACTTCTTTATGGATTCCCTGGATGCGGTAAGACAATGCTGGCCAGCGCAGTGGCTGGCGAGTGTGGGTTGAACTTCATTAGTGTTAAGGGTCCCGAGATTTTGAACAAATACATCGGAGCCAGTGAAAAGAGTGTTCGCGATTTGTTCGAGAGAGCCCAGGCCGCTCGTCCTTGCGTCCTTTTCTTCGATGAGTTCGACAGTATCGCACCCAAGCGTGGCCACGACTCCACCGGTGTCACAGACCGTGTCGTCAACCAGCTGTTAACACAAATGGACGGTGCAGAAGGCCTCTCAGGCGTCTACGTACTAGCAGCAACATCACGGCCGGACCTGATTGATCCCGCCCTGCTTCGTCCTGGTCGTCTCGACAAGTCCCTGCTTTGCGACATGCCCAACCATGCAGACCGTGTTGATATTATCCGCTCGGTGAGCGAAAAGCTCAAGATGAGCGACGAGGTGACGTCTCGTTTCGGTGATATCGCCACCCAGACCGACGGATTCTCCGGTGCAGATCTACAGGCTGTCGTGTACAACGCCCATCTAGAGGCCGTCCATGACGCGCTAGGTGACCGTTCTACTGATACTTCCAAGCCCGGTGCCAAGTCCAAGTCGGCCAGTTCTTCCAGCAAATCGTTTATCCAGTTCCTCTACTCCTCTTCAGAGGAAGCATCCGGGTCTGTCTCCATGCCAGCCCCGGCGGTTATCGCAGCCAAACTGGATGCTATTAAGAACTCGCGTCGCCGCCAGCGTCAGCTTGAACAGGGCCCTTCCAGTGCGAATACTGCCGCGGTCCCGGTGACCAACGGCACTGAGCCTGATGCAGATGAGCTGCGTGAGGATATCATCGTCCGCTGGGAGCATGTTGAGCGCTCATTGGCTACCACTCGTGGTTCTCTTCCTCCTGCGGAGCGCAGACGTCTCCAGGGAATTTATCGTGAGTTTATCGCTGGCCGGAATGGCGAAATGCCTAATGGTGAGGCGGCCAATGAGATTGGAGGTCGAACAAGCCTGATGTGATTATATTTTATAATCTTCCAAGGTTGGGTTTTGTACACTGTATATATGAGCAGCATTGCGATTGGTTCTTTGCTTTCTATTCCTGTATTTATCGATATTGGTAGATGGACATGATATTATAAATTTGGATGTTGTAAAGGATCATGCTCATCTGGGCAATATCTCCTATGAGAGCCATGTAGTTGATTCGTCTTTCAAAACTACGAGTAGGACGGAATAGTAACGGTATTTGTATTCAGTGAAATACATGTAGAAATAGAAGAGGTACCTAACACACAAAAAGAAAAGGCTGACTCTGCTTTAGATTGTAGATTGTTTTCTCAAGACCAATATGATCCGCTGTTCCTGTGGCCCTTCAGGAAGCTGTATATAACTTGGTTCTTCCAGCCCAGCGTGTAGAAAGGAAATGATGGTATCAACATGGTGTAAATGACACCCTTTTGCCTGATATAACAAAGATATGGAGGGCCATGTTTCTCGGCGGCCAAGGAACGGGTCGCTGTAGGCGACTTCTTTGGCTCAGAAGTTGCAGGCGGGGTCGGGGGAGGGCTAGCTTCGATCCCTCGCTCTTATCATTGTCTTTTGCGGGTGCGTTCTTTACGTCAGGTTTCGGGTTCGGGCCCTTCGACTTTTGGGGAACCGATTCTTAGATTGTTAGCTTGAATGCCTAAATTATATTTATGTAGTCACTTACCTTTCCGCTCTTAGATCCGGATGGATCTTCGCCCTTCTTGGGCTTAGTCATTTCGACTGATTGGGGTTCTTTTCAAATTCGCAAGTTGAGAGTCTGTTACCAGAACTCTTGTCCCGGTACACCCTGCGAGGGCATCACAACCCTCGGCAACCGCACATGTGAGCTGCTACGGGATATAAAAGAACGGAGGGCCGAAAGGAGGAGATAGTGCATGGGCACTGGCGTATGAAACCTGGCAATATCGGGGGATGACATCACAAGGTGAAGAGGCGACCCCAGTCTGTGACATTAAGAGACTGAAAGACAGATAGGTGGGATTAGACTTACCATTCAGGGTGCCGCTCGTATGAAGACCAATCCAAGGCTTAGAAATGATACATAGTCAACTCCAACTGTATATTGGTAGATTAGCAGTTAGTATCGAGCTATACGTGACAGAGATTAACCTACCATTTATCTTGTACCCGGTATAAACCACCTCAGCCTTGACAGTGTCCATGGGTATGATCCACAAGTTGTGGAGAGACCATTCTCCGGAAATTGTGTTCAGGGCCCTCCGGTTGTTGATGCCGTCGACGTTTGACACCGAACAGGACTCTAGTATGGTTTAATGCTGTACCCTGAGATCGACACCCGGTGGTCAAATCCAGGGAACAGACAGAACTTGGAGCAATCACACCTGTATGTCAAAATGTTAGCATTCAGAAGTGGAGACTAAGTCAGAGCGATATAAGCCTCACCAATGGGCAGCCCACCCCTCGAGAACTAACCCCCACACTACAGAAACCCTCATTATAGTCTTCACCGAAAGCACCAGCAGAAAGCTCCCTCAAACAAAGTCTGAGTTCACTCATTGACCAGCTGCTGAGCTCCGGCTCTGACAAAGGCACCAACGCAAGCGGCACCCAGGGACCCTATCAGAATCAAAAGTCAGCTAAGTCCAACCCAAAACGAAGTGAAACGATTTCATCTCAGAAAGAACATGTGAAGGAGGAAAAAGCGAGGGAAAAGCGGAGGAAAACTGAACTGAAAGCAAGAGGAATGCAAGGAATAAAAATGAAATGGAATTGACTTACCAACGTCGTCGGCGCGACGGAAGAACAGGCACACCATAGATCAAGATTGGGGCGGGGGTTGTCCTACCTCGACGCTCCGCAATCGAGCCCATGAGTGCGCGAGCCTCCAGTCGCTGACGGTGGGCTTCATACCCTGGGATCTGCTGGTAGCCAGAGGGAATCACCGGAATCCTAATGGCGGCAGACCGGGGGGACGCAGCTTGACAGCTGGCCCCGTAGTATGAGGAGCTGTTAGTCTCGGGGGCGACACAGACCTCATCAGCAGAGCGTGGGCTTGGAGGTCCATTCTCCAGGGACCAGCTGGACAACACAGCCATCTCGAAAACATCCATTTTGACGATGTTTGCAGTATCGAATCGCCAAAAAATTGAAAAGGAAGGCGAAAGTGAGGGGAAAGGAGAAAGAGAAGAAGAGAAAGAGAAAAGGATTGGGGGTGATATAGTCTCCCAGTCCAAAAAGGAAGGGTCGACCGGCCATGTGAAGTGGCGGGGGTACAGTCACTTTCAGGTCGTTCCTGCTATTTCTGGCATAAAAAGTTGAGATCACCTGGGTACTACTATTTTGTTATATAAGATGGCCAATCTACCTAAGTATTCCAGTTATCCTGGCCATGTGGTTTTGATCAAATTTTGAGTAAAATAAACAATGTCAGAGTACTTCACTCTTTCTCTAAAGCCTTATTAACAAGATGTTCTAGCTTGTTCCACTCTGCAGACAGAACAGCCTTGTTCTTGCTAGGATCAAGGCCATTAGCCTTGAATTCATTGTGGACCTGTACAAACTGATTTCCGACAAGCTTCTTAAAGCTAGGTACTGTGCAGCTCTCCGACTGCGTACTAGTAAGCTCAGCGAGAATGTACCAAATCAAGTAGTGGTAGTTCAGCTTGAAGTCATGAAGCTGGACAGGGTCTTTAGGGTCAGGCTGGAAGCCCTCTTGGGAAATGAAGACTGTAAGTCTAACCAGGCTCCATGCATGTATGTGCCGGATGGGGTGGGCCTTATCATAGACGACAGGATCGATTCGCAGGTATCGAATGGCAGCGTGGATGAATGCCCGGGTGAAGTTTCCAGCCGTTAACAAGGATATGATCAGCTTATCACGGAGAGAAGCATATGGCTGACGGGTGAGAGGCCATAGGGCGGTTTCATGGAGCTTGTGCATAGCAGCTTCCAGCTTCTCGATTGCATCTGCTGGCTCCGTGCTGGTTGCGGTTGCTTTCTGCATCAGCTCCAAGGCTTCACGCTCTGCTGTCTCTAGGGGTGTCATGTCTTCAGGTGTAGACAAGAACCGGTCTTCAATGGTGTCCGCGCCCTTCTGGCACTTTGTGCACTGGCAGTCGAAGAAGTAGCGTTCTTTAAGTTCGTTGCGACGGATGTCGTATGGTGTTGTGGTGTCGATATAGGAGATAAAGATTTGCTCGCCCTTCTTGATGGGACGCATAGCCTTGACATACAGTTCTTCGCCGTCAAATCCAACAGTGGAGTTGTAGTCGCAGCTGTGGTTAATCAAACCGGCATATGGATGCATGTAGAGGCCAATGCGGTCATACATGGAGGTGGTGAGGTTGAAGGAGTTGAGATCCAACTAGAAATGATAGTTAGATGAAAAGTCCACAAAGCAAGAGGTGTATGGCCGAAAGCAATTACCTTCGCAGCATAAGTAGAGACAGTTCCTTCATCAACGTCCGTGCCTGAGTAATTCTTGACAGCTTTGGCTGTCAAGTTGATCCTATCAAGCTGACCTTGGCTCTCTGAGATCTCATTGATGTGAGTCTCCAGGCCATCAAATATCTTGAACTCTTCAGAATTGTACTTGTTACGTGCAGTGCGCAGCACTACGCGTAGGAGAGCACGGGCATTGTTGGGAAGCACCATAGGTTTGACATTTTTGAAGATGGGGCATTCAAGAGAATGGGCAAATTTCCAGTCTTTAGATTGACACACCTAGAAATAAAGTATTAGAAGCTTATGAGACAAATATTAGGTAGGACAAGAGATATGAGACAGCAAACGATCTATCGTTTTAGCAACTCACCCGGTCACAATACTTCACGACACGACATCCTGTGCAAGCCTTCAACTCATTGCCAGTTTCCACCTGTCTCTTTCCAAAGCAGCCAGCACATGTGTCCTCTAAACGTGGAGAATCAAGAACTGCCACGAATGGTGTTTTGATGTGTAAAACATCTTCGCCGGGGTTGATGTCAGTTGTCGCAAACAGACCATTGCCCATGCCATTGGGGGCAGGCTGTGGGACAGTCCTAGTCGTCACCGAAGGTAGTGCAGTTCTTGATGCCATTTTATATATGATCTGATTATAAGAAGAATTGTTTGAAACATAATCAGAGTGGATAGTCGTCCACGTGGGGCGGTGAATCGTTGTATCTGAATCTCTTGGCATTGATAGAAGATTGATCTCACATCCAGAGCAATATCATGAGAAGACCCTGAAATTTCTCTTGTAATTTAATACCTACTGCATAGTTAAGTACTACTCGTCAAGGATTCTATTATCGTTACCTTACCTAGTAACCAGCATCCTATATTATGCAACCCAAGCCCAGAGATGAGAGCGCACCGATAGAGCATATTCGAAGGTTGGTTTTAAACTCCTACTAAAGCCGGAAACTCACTCGATCTATATGCAAAATAGTAACATAGATATAAATGCAGATAAACAAATACTACATAGATGTCTCAGACCTACAAATGCTTCTAAGCGGAAATCCATCTTGTTCAAAATCCAAAGCTCCGTAACTCAAAAGAATTGGGAAGCTATAAGTTGGGCAAATCATTAGGTATATATATATATATATACAGCATAACTCATTCAAGTGCATAGACACAGAATCTCAAACCCCAACCGACTGAACATCAGACATAAAAAGAACCAAACCTAAGTCCTAGATCATAGCCGCAAAAGCCGCAAAAGCCGCAGCCCCCAAGGGCGCAGCAGTGATCAAAGGCTTCGCAGCCCCAGCAGCAGCACCACTAGAAGCAGTAGGTGTGACCTTCACCTCGGAAGCCGAAGCCGTCACAGCACCACTAGAAGCAGTAGGGGTTGCCATCACCCCGGAAGCCGAAGCCGTCGCAGCACCAGCGCCATCGGTGATAGTAAGATGATGGTAGCTAATCGAAGATGCAGGGAGGGATTCTGTGCCGGAAGAAGAACCGGAATCGGTGTAAGTACCAGCGGAGCCAGCGAATTCCCAAGTCCACGTGCAGACAGCAGATTCAGAAGAGCGGGTGAAACTGCAGTGCTCGATGTTGGTTCCAACGGCTGTAGCACCGTCGGTAGACAGAGTCATTACCATAGAGGCGCTATAAGTGGTAAGGCCCTGGACTATGGTTGCGGGATGGCCCAATGAGCACTGAGATGCGCCTTCCAGGCAGGCGACCTCGTAGGTCGTGGCGTCCTTGCCGATGGTAACGACTCGGGCTGCGGTGCTGGAGTAGGTGCGGAGGTCGAGGCCGCTGGCAGGATAAATGAGACCGAAATACTCCAAGGTTGTTGTGCCGGGCTCATCAGCTGCAACCAGAGCTGCTAGGGCAGAAACTAGAAACCAAGATAAACGCATGTTTGCAAGATTCGAAGATTCGGAGATTCAAGATGAGGGTTTTCTTAGGGTTGTAGGAACAGAGATTATTGGGGTTGGACTGAATATAAGGAGTCAGGAAGTGGTAGGAAGCAGGGTAAAATGAAAGATCAAATGACTCCCCTCGCTACTAGAGTCCCAAATTGGCTGCCCGACAAGAGCCATCTGGAAGCGAAGCATGGTTGTATACTAGTGCTATCCTATAGCATCCTAGCAACTAGACTTCGTGCTGACAGGCAATTTAGCTCACGGGCCGTGGTGAACCCCCAAGAAAGGTTGGAGCCTAAATCTGTGACCTGTGAACATCAGTCAAAGACCTAGATAGGTTATGTGATATGAAAGTAAAGATATTAAAAGATAATGTGGAGAAAATCTAGAAGACAAAACATAGGAAGTCTTGAATTTACAAGTCGGGTCGGCAAAAATTGCTGTCAAAAGTGAGGCATCGATGTTCTTCTAATTGGCAAAGGCGGCTCAAACACCGCTAGCAATAGCTAAGCCCCAGGCTATTGTGGCTGAGTCACTGGTGGTTGAGCCCCTATACGGAGAAGAGAACAGAGTAAAAGATCTTATAGGTCAAATTCGTATATCAGGATATGAGCACTATACCACTGTGACCGTGATTCGCCGGAGAGTAGAGATGGGGAACAATTCAATGATTCATAAGGAAAAGACAACATTCAAAATCCGAGAGTACAGTAATTAAAACGGCCGAAAAGACAATGCACGCCATCTATCAACAAGATTGCCCTACCCACTACACCATACAGAAAGTTTGAATCCTGTCCTTGGAAAATCATGACGGGAAGACCTGGGGAGGCCATAGGGGATATCGAGCGGAAAGAGATGTTGACTTCCTGTCTCTCTTTACCTCGACATAGGGCTTTTTTTTCTCTTCATCTGTCATTTTATGCAAATAAAATAGAGATTTACAGCGCCTTGCCGCCGACGAAGTTAGACCAGGTGCGGACCTCGGAGGGGATTCCCTCGGCGCGGGGGAGCTTCTCGTTCATGCACTGAGCGAAGAGCTGGGCAGTCTGTGGAGAGTATGAGTTAGTAACTGGTATAATTATCAGCATCAGCATTTTAGACATACCTTAGCTTCCATGAAAAGAGGCACGTTGAAATCAACAGCGTTGCGGCGCATGACATAGTCGTCATCAAGCTGGGTCTTGCCACGGGTCTTGGCAAGGTTGAAGCAGCCACGGATGTCGTACTTCTGGAACACCTCACGGAGAGCACGCTTGTCCTTCTTGGGGAACTCAATCACCTGCACGGAGACACCCTTGGCGGATTCAAGGTGAGCCTTGACCTCGGAGTTGACGGCGAAGAACTTGTAGCCGAGAGGGTTCAGGTACTCGACAATCTTGGCCAGGTAGGGCTGAGTGATATCACCGCCGAGCAAGATACCCTCACCGGGCTCAGGCATGCGGAAGTTCATGGTGGACTGGAGAGAAGACCAGTAGGCCTCGACCAGATCCTTACCGAAGCAAGCAATCTCACCGGTGGAGGACATCTCGACACCCAGGAAGGGGTCGGCACCAGCCAGACGGGTCCAGGAGAACTGAGGAACCTTGGTGGCGAGGTAGTCACGCTTCACCTTCATGAGGTCGACGGGCTCGGGGACATCACGGCCGACGAGAGCCTTGGTGGCGACGTCGATGAAGTTGGTACCCAGGACCTTGCTGACGAAGGGGAAGGAGCGGGAAGCACGCAGGTTGCACTCAATAACCTTGAGGGCGGGCTCAGCACCCTCCTGGTTGGCCTTGATGATCTGCATGTTGAAGGGGCCGGTGATGTTCCAGGCCTTGGCGACCTTCTCGGCGATCTCCTTAACGCGGGCCATGATAGGCTCCTCGATGTTGGCGGGAGGCAGGACGAGGGTGGCATCACCGGAGTGAACACCAGCGGGCTCGACGTGCTCGGAGACGGCGTGGACAATCAGCTTACCGTTGGAAGCGACGGCATCCACATCGATCTCCTCGGCACCCTCGATGAACTTGGTGATGACGACGGGGTGGTCAGGGGAAACGGCGGCGGCGTTAAGGAGCTTCTCCTTAAGTTCATCAACACTGTAGATGACGTTCATGGCGGCACCGGACAGGACGTAACTGGGACGAACCAGGACGGGGTAACCAACAGTCTCGGCAAAGGTCTCAGCAGCAGCGACGGAGGTCAGCTCCTTCCAGGCGGGCTGGTCAACACCAATGCTGTCGAGAATGGAGGAGAACTTGTGACGGTCCTCGGCCTTGTCAATGTCCAGAGGGTTAGTGCCCAGAATGGTAGCACCACCGCTCTCTTGCAGACGGAGAGCAATGTTCTGAGGCAGCTGACCACCGACAGAGACAACGACGCCGCTAGCGGCCTCAAGCTCATAAATATCCATGACACGCTCGTAGCTGAGCTCCTCGAAGTACAGCTTATCAGCGGTATCGAAGTCAGTGGAGTAGGTCTCGGGGTTATAATTGATCATAACAGTCTTCTTGCCCATCTCACGGAGGGAGAGAGTAGCGTTAACAGCGCACCAATCGAACTCAACGGAGCTACCAATACGGTACACACCGCTACCAAGAATGATAGTTCCGTGGTCATCGAAGGTAACATCGTGGGAGGAAGCGTTATAGGTGGTGTAGAGGTAGTTGGTATCGGCAGGGAACTCGGCAGCAAGGGTATCGATCTTCTTAACCCAAGGGGTGATGCCAAAGGACTTACGGCGGGCGCGGACATCATCCTCGGTGGCTCCAACAAGGAGAGAGATCTGCTTATCAGAGAAACCGAGCTTCTTAGCCTTCAGCAGGATCTCCTGCTTGAGGCCGAAGAGGCTGCCGATCTCCTTAAGCTCATTGTTGCAATCCACGATGTTCTGGATCTTGTACAAGAACCACTTGTCGATCTTGGTCAGTTCGTGGACCTTGTCAACCGAGTAGTTCTCGTGGAGCATAGCCTGGCCAACGGCCAACCAGCGGCGATCAGTGGGGTTGCGGAGAGTCTCATCAAGGTCATCGAACTTATCACCCTGGAGACCAAGGTATCGAGGGTCAACCTGACGGATAGCCTTCTGAAGGGACTCCTCCCAGGTACGACCGATAGCCATAACCTCACCAACCGACTTCATAGCGGAGCCGATATCGCGGTTCACGTGCTGGAACTTGGCCAAATCCCAGCGGGGAATCTTAGTGACAACGTAGTCCAGACTGGGCTCGAAGTTGGCAGTGGTGGTCTTGGTAACAGCGTTAGGAAGCTCGGGAAGAGTGTGTCCCAAACCAATCTTAGCGGCGGTGTAAGCAAGCGGGTAACCGGTAGCCTTGGAAGCCAGAGCGGAAGAACGCGAAAGACGAGCGTTGACCTCAATGACACGGTAGTCGAGGCCATCGGGCTGCAGAGCGTACTGGACATTGCACTCGCCAACGACGCCCAAGTGACGGACAATCTTGATAGCGGCAGTGCGGAGCATGTGGTACTCCTCATCAGACAGGGTCTGACTAGGGGCAACAACGATACTGTCACCGGTGTGGATTCCGAGAGGGTCGAAGTTCTCCATGTTGCAAACGGTAATACAGTTGTTATCAGCGTCACGGACAACCTCGTACTCAACCTCCTTCCAGCCCTTGAGGGACTTCTCGACAAGAATCTGTGGGGAGAGAGACAAAGAGCGCGAGGACAAGTCACGGAGCTCTTCGGCGTTGGAAGCGAAGCCAGAACCCAGACCACCGAGGGCGTAAGCAGATCGGACAATGATGGGGTATCCAACCTCCTCGGCAGCCTTGAGAGCGTCCTCGACAGTCTCGACGGCGGTCGATTCCGCAATAGGAATATCAATCTCGTTCAAGGCCTGGGCGAAGAGGTCACGGTCCTCACTGGTTTCCAGGGTCTTGATGGGGGTACCAAGAACCTTGACACCGTAGCGTTCAAAGGTGCCCATGCGGTTCATCTGCACACCCAAGTTCAGGGCGGTCTGACCACCGAAGGTGAGAAGAATACCATCGGGGCGCTCGCGCTCAATGACGTGGGTAACATATTCAGGGGTGACGGGGAGGTAGTAAACTTCGTCAGCAAGCTTGTGGTCGGTCTGGATGGTCGCGATGTTGGGGTTGATCAGGATAGAGTGGACGCCGGCTTCCTTGAGAGCCTTAAGAGCTTGAGAGCCTGTTTAATCTCACAGTCAAAAGATTAGTTACTGTTGACATTTGATTTAATTTTTTAGGGCGGTTTTTAAGCTCTCTGTATTCCCCGCACAAAAAGATCCCCGTGCAGACCCCCATGGGGGCCTGACAGGCATCCTAACCGGGGTGAAAATTCCATCTCCAAGTGACTCGAACTTACCAGAATAATCGAATTCTCCGGCCTGTCCAATGCTCAGACCACCACTACCAATGACAAGGACTTTCTTGACATCGACGAGCTTGCTACCGGTCGCCACAGCACCGCTAGCGAGGTAAGACTCGGCGGCAGGGGGCTTCTCAGTAGCCAGGCGGTTCAATGTGCTGGAGAAAGAACGGAGCTGTTGAGATCGAGCCGTGGGGATCTTCTGCAGGCGTAGAGTCGAGACTGTTGAACGGACAGGCTGAGATGAGAATGCGCGCAGAGAGAGTGCTGGACGAGTTTCAGCGATGCAGCGCTGGCGCAGCAGGGCGGCCGCCTGCCCACATCGAGCAGCAAGAGCCATTGCGCACCGAAAGTAATGTTTCAGTTGCTGAGGGATGTGTTGAGGATGAGTCTACACTTTGCTGGGATTCTTTTTTTTCCGCCGCTCCGTCGCTAATTGGCTCGCTCCCTTCACCGTATACGGCTCCACTTTTGAAGAACAGCGAGGGAAAGCCGGGGGATAATTGAAATGATTAAGATAATTGAGATGATTGGGGTAATTGGGATAATTGGGATAATTGGGGATATATAGATCTGAAGGACTTAATAAGGAATGTTACTAGTTTACTCATTTATTGGTCTTTTTATATTTTTTTCCCCTTTTTTTGTTTTTCTTTTTTTTTTTGGACGATGAGTCAAAATTTTGAAGGGTGGAGACGGGGTTCCCTCGGCAAATATCTTTCTTATATGTAAATAGAGCCTAGTAATTCTCTATGTTATACATTATGATTTTCATATAGAACTTATAAGAGTCTATAGGCGATTGGGATCCAAAAACATCACCTGGGCAGCTCCTCTACTTGCCGATGTCGGAGCTAACCCTATCTCTTATCTCTCGACTTAACCTTGGAAAACCTTGCAAGGTTTACACGTCTGCCCAGGTGGTTCTCAAGGGTATGGCCCCAAACTAGCCCAGATGAAAGGATGAATCAGGTGCATAAAAATAGAATGAGGGTGTAGGACCTACAAGGTGGTTGGATGAGTGATGAATGCACGTCAGAAGAAAGATTGGAGAATAGAACTAAGTAGAGGACCACAGCATACTCCATGAGTACTCCCGTGAATAATTGCGGATCTTGTCTAAATTTCGTTTGGGAGGGTGGAGTGCCCAATTCTAATGAACTATTCGTCGACCTGCAAATCGGGCACATTGTGATATTCAAATCAAGTCCTTGAGGACCCTACAAAAATAGCATAAACTACCATATAAGGATAAGCGAGACGAACCCTCCTATAAAACTGAGAACTGCGGGATGTGGAATAGTGACGGTGGAGAAAGTACAAAACCGGATTATAGACTGATATGCGCTCTAGGAGACCAGAGAATTATCATCCATTAGTATATATACCAAGGGAACAGAGATATTTATACCCAAAGCAAATGTCATGACTTCCAAGAAACAAAAGTGAAGTACCCTCCAGGGCTAGCTGTAACCCCCGGGGCCATGTCTATAAGTTCTGCATTAAACCCTTCTTGGAACCTTTGGGGGGAAAAAAAGCCACATCCATAGATTCATCTAGCCATAGTTAGGTGGATCCATTATGGTCAACCAATCACAATATCTCACGAATCCTGGTTTCCCGGCATTTTCGATTTTCCATTAAATTACCGTGACTCTTGGAACTATATCGAGTATACCTACTTCTCGAATGCCTCTATGTTGTAGATAGTTCTTTCAAATCAATCTTCCAATCAGTTAGATTCATAGACCAGCTTATGGAATGAGACCAGGCCGGTATCAGATCCTAGGCCTTTTTTTTCCTTATGGCTCTACACGGTCCTGGTTAGATATATATTTCATACATAGATTGCCCTGACTAGCCTTTAATAAAAAAAGTGTTCATTTTAGCAGTCAACCACCTATTCCAATATTTTATATATGTGTCCATACACAATGGCAATTTACAAGCCAATTATCCCGCTAAAACTGAATCGCAATGTAAAATGAGTTTGATGATCCCCGAGAATTCTACAAACCCAACAACCCTAGAGCTACAGCACTAGATTACCAACATGGCGGGGTTGAGCTGAAAATAAATAGGGTATATTATATACTATGACAAAATTATTACATTAGATATACGAAGTAACATAGTACAGTTATTCTACAACCCCCACTTTCCCATTTAGACTTGACCAAGGACCACTCGGTTGCTTCTCAATCCGAGACCCACCCCTCGACATCCCCTTTGAGGAGCGATTCTCCTGACCCTCCAACATTACCTCACCGAGGTCCTGATTGAGGGTCTTACATACACTAGTTAAGGTCTGTCGGGCGTCCTGTGCAACCTCAGTACCCAATGCGATCTTTCGCTGAACAAAGTCTTGTTCGTTGGCAGCTGCAGCATTAGAAGCAAATGCCCATGCTTCGGCAAGACCAACAACCTCATCCGGGGTCTGATCGGAGGCCTGAGTCTGGTTTCGCAAGTCGAGAGTAGCCGCATGCTTAAAGCGTGGCCGACGGACGGGAGTGGGGTATTCGGGAAGTAGGTGGGATTCGTCGCTTAGACGATTGAGGGCGCGGAGAGTCGTAGACTTTTCTTTCGAGAGTAAACCGGATAAATAGGTTTTCTGGAGAGCCAGCGACTTTTGACTCTTAAGTAGCGGGACCAGGTTTTCGTTTGTGTATGATAGAACGTCGATCGGGTTGGGTGGTGGGATTTCTGCTGTCACGAGTTCATTCTTGTTGGTTGATCGTGACGGAGGTTTTGGGGCCACATTAACTGGCTGGCAAGCTCTGGAGGCAGCATCGAGGAGATCTCGCCGGGCTCGCAGATATGCGGCATATTGCTCCATAATCTGCATCTTGCGATTCTCTAGCCCCCGCTGGACATCCTCGATTTCCTCCGGGGGAAGTTCTTGGAGTACACTCTCATCTGGATCCCCTTGACCAACCAGCCGTTCCTCCACCCATTGTACTAGCTCATCCCGGGTCTTTTGCAATGCTTGTGCTTTGGCACCTGAAGTTTCAACTTGGGGATCATGCTGTGCCTTGGCTTCATCGAACAATTGCTTTTGGCGGTCCAATTGAGTTCTCGCACTGACAACTGCTCTCTCAAGCCTATGCACTAGTTCATCCAAGTCTGTTTCAGTGCCATTGCGCCCAGCCTCCGCATCTACCTCCGGCAACAGCATTTGCTCTCCGTCATTGTCAACATCATCCAAGCTGCCCGCATCGCGTGTTTTAATTTCCTCAAGGTAATTCTGAAACACCTGCAACTTGGTATAGCGGCGTCGATCGCGTAGGAGGGCAAGGTATTCACGAAGTTCGGTGCCGGGCTCTTGCAGATCATCATCAGAAGAGCGGTTCGGGACCGTCCTCTGGCGCCTTAATGATGCGATATTCTCAGAAGCCAAGGCAAACTCTTTGCGGGCCGCAACATTGGCCTCCAATGCCTTTAGATAATCCTTTCTCAACCCAGGGAGATCGGGAGGGATACGTTTGACACCGGTAACAGCATCAGTCGACGCACACAGGGAGAGGTGGGATTGAGAGAGATCGCTTGACTGATCGTCGAATTCGATAAATGAGCGCAGGTAAGACGTCAGCACCTGGCGAATATGGAGGGTTTCCTGGCGTGACTTGATGTAAGGAGCGAGCGGTTTCACAACGGGCGGAATGTGGATAGCGTCAGGGGAGTTGGGTCGGACCATGGTTTCATTGGGCGGGGTGTGGAGGGCTATGCAAGTTTCGATATCTGGAGAGACGAACTGAGACCTTGATAGGTCTCGGAAGACTTCACTGCCACAATGCACAGTGATATCGTGAGATCGAAGTTGTTTGGGCTCAAAAGGTTCCACCAGTTCGCAGGCTTATGTAACATGCAGATCATTTTGAGGTCCCCGGTCCCGAAGTGGAGCTTATTGTTTTGTGCAGTTGAGGATCTATGATATGTTGATTATGACTGTAGTTTATAGAAGGTTGCAGACGCTGATCAATAAATTAACTTGATTATTGCCTAACTTACTGGATAGCTCCAATTGAGACATCCAATATGCCTCAAAAGGGGCCTGAGCACTCTACTCCGTACTATCTCCGTCATTTATATGGAGTATAATGTAAGTAGATAAACAGAGATATATTTATGGACTGTGTCATCAAAGAGCTACCAAATAGTCCCATTAGTGTGTTGGCTCTACAAAGTGTAGATGTTCCTACATGGAATGCTAACATTTTATCTCTCAAGCTACGTACATGTACATCCAGATGTACAGATTACGTGCACGGCCCAATCAAAGCGACAAAGGATAAAACATCTCACGGCAAGAGAGAAGTCCAATTTTCAGATTTCTCTTTCTTCCTGCCTTACTTAATTCCCTTCCACGTCGAAAGAAGCTCTTTGGTTCCCCCTCCATAATTGGTACGTTTCAAAAGTCTCCCTGGAATTTGCATCAAGGGGTGTTTTGATTCATTTTTCCACCAAATAATCTGATTTATTCCAATGCTGAAACACTTATAGTTCAGCCCTCACGACTCACATGCCGACGGCAGAAAAGTAAACTTATCGTTAAGCAATATTGTCAGAACATACCTGATACCATGCCTCCTGACTTGAGTGCTACGGCCAACTCTAATATGTCACGACCTCGCGCAGCAACAACGGCACCCGCTATGGCGTCGCAGTCTTCAACACCACGACAATCAGTACATGCTCCTCATACATCTGCAGTACTCCCGCCCCCGGGAAGCCCACCACTAGGAACGGGGGATTATGGCATCACACGTACCGCCCAGGGTGAGTCCATACTTGGCCGTCATTTTGTTGGATTCGCGGACTAACGGAACAAGGGCCATTGCGTCATCCTCAGCCGCTGACACCTTCGGATCTCCATCTAGTGCTTGAGAAAGAGCAAGAAGCGATGGTAAGTGGAATTCCAGAGCCCCAAAGTATATCCGTGGATCCACCCCTCAGTCGCTGACGCATCAAAACTCTCCGCAGGTGAATCGATTGACACGAGAGCTATCTCTTCTCCGCCAGCAAACAGCGTCCGTGGCATCGACAGCATCTTCCGCCTCAACATTTAACGAGGCAGATGGCGCACGGGCATCACCCACCCTCAGCAGCTCAGCCCAGTCTCATTCTGCCCGACGGCACCGGTCCAGTTCAAGCCTCAGCTCAAACCAGGGCCCGCAGTCTTCAAGTGTCACTGGAATTGCTCCCTCACGAGAGATACCATACCGCTCGACAGACCATTCTCGAACGGTTCGCAGCCGTGAGCCATCCATCACATCTCGCCGACCCTCCATCGGGTCAATATCCTCATTCTCTCACAATAACAACAGCGTATACCCACACCGAAACTCGGTGTCACAGACCCAGTTGGGCCATTCACCTGGAAGTTCGCTCTCGCGGTTTGAGGAGGCCACACATCACAGGTTGGAGGTGGAATACATGAAGCGGGAGAATGAACAGCTCAGGAGGCGGGTGCGGGATCTGGAGCAGACTTTAAAGAGGCAAAAGGAGGACTCGGGAAGTTGAGGTTTCTGACAGACCATCTGAATCAGTAATGCCTGATTTTTCAATTTGCATTCGAACCCATATCATTCTTTCGCATTGCCACCATGGAGGCAGTGCCCAACATTTTCATATCAGGGGGTTTGCAGGCAAACACATTCATAGCAAAATCCTAGTTTTCACATGTGAATTTATTTTTCTAGGCAGCTCCATTGAAAATCATGTAGTCCAATTAAATAGAAACCAAACTAGACCAAACCGGAAGAAACCCAAATGAAATTAGCTACATGAGGCGGTGCAACAGCCCCGCCATACGTCATAACGTCATTTGTGGCGCAGGAGGTCTCGTTAGATAAATAGTCGCATCACCACCTGAGAAATAAGTTATTCTTTAAATTTCTCTAATTATTCTCTTATCCTCTACCCTCTACCTAAAATAATCATGTCTCACGCCACTGTTCACGTTTCTGGCATCTCGTCAACAACCTCCGAGAAGGAGGTTCGTGACTTCTTCAGCTTCTGGTAAATTACCACAAATTAATGCTTTATTTAACAACTTGCTAACTGGAACAGTGGAAAAATTGTCACCCTCTCTATTACCCCAGTTTCTGGTGAACCCGACGCTCAAAAGTCCGCCACCGTGACTTTTGAAAAAGAAGCGTAAGCTACCCCGCACCCAATCTGAACATTTCCGCCCACATGAAACACAAACTAACCCAATCCCTAACAGCGCTGCCAAGACTGCCCTCCTCCTAGACCAGACTCAACTAGGCACCTCTGCCGTGCACGTCGAAGCAGCCCACAATATCGAAGACCTAGCCGGCGCCCAAGCCGCCCCCGCAGGTAGCGAGACCAAGGATGAAGAGCACCACATCGCACAAGAAGATAAACCCCGCTCGCGCATTGTCGCAGAGTACCTGGCGCACGGATACGTGGTGAGCGACAATGCGATCATGAAGGCGATCCAGCTGGACAAGAAGCATGGAGTCTCGAGCCGTTTCACGTCGGCGCTCACCAACTTCGATAAGAAGTACAATGCCACCGAGCGCGCTAAGGGAATTGACGAGAACTACCAGATCTCCAATAAGGCAGCCTCTGGCTGGCGCGGCCTGAGCTCTTACTTCGAGAAGGCCCTTGAGCACCCCTCCGGTCAGAAGCTGCGTGACTTTTATGTTCAGACCGATAAGCAGGTGCGTGATATTCACGCTGAGGCTCGTCGTCTGGCAGATCTGAAGCAGGGTAAGAGTGGTGAGGCTACGCCTGCTGCTACCGCTGAGCCTGAGGCTCCTGCTGCTGCCCCTGCTCCTGCTCAGCCTGAGGCTGCTGCTGCGCCTTCTGAGAAGGTGTAAAGGAATCCTTGAAATAAGGTCTTAATGTGGAGATGAGTATTTGCGCTGGGCGTTTTTGTCTATTGCTTTATCTTTTCCCTTCTTATGATGCCATGTCATGTTCATAGTTAATTTTCTTTCTGCCTGTGTGATAACCTGAGTTTGGGGCCTTTGCTACAAGTGAGCCTTTCATAACTATCCGATAAGCAAAGCAAATGGACATAAAAATTGATTTCACTCCTGAGATTTATTGTATTGTTTACTAAAGTACAATAAAAGAAGATGGTTGTTATTCTTCATGATATCATTATCCGAATTTCAAAAAACAGGATCCTTTCCAAGTACATGCAAACAACATTCCGCCTCAATGTTGTTTACCCTTGGCAAACTTCTCCGCCTCAATCTTTTCTAGCGGGTGTTCGGGGTTGCTTGTGAGCACATTGTCCCTGTAGTCCTCCGATGATCGCCGCGAGGTCTCGTGTGCTGGGGGTTTGCCGACATTGGTTCTGCCAGAGCCAGGGGTCTCCTGCTGCTGGGAGCCAGATTGGCTCTCTGGAGGGGGGGATTGGCGGCCGGGGTTGGGAGCAGACATTGTGGATATTGTAGAATTGGACTTGATGTGCTAAATAGATGGATAAGCGTGAGTTTCTCGTGGGAAAATGAAGTATGAGATGATATGGTGATCTAACCTTCAATTGATGTAGCTTGGCTGTAGAATATTTCTGTGTTTAAAGTGATAGAAAGAAAGATCAGTACTTCTTTTTATTCTTGAAATTAACTGACGTTATCAGGTAAACCGGTAGGGGGTCATCATGATGACGTGTGTAGTGGCACTTGGAACAAGGTCTCCATTCTAACTTACTAACAACATACAATGTATGCAAATTCTGACATCTTAACTGAACATAGGTGTCTTGAAGCTTGTGCAGGAATCTTTATTGTTGTTCAACATACTATGAGAGTGGGATATAGCTATAGATCCTTACTATACACACATCGGCCCTGTAATATTTTTCCTTTGTTTCGTTCTACAACTATTACTTCTGTTAGCTTCCTTTTTATCTCGCATAGTTAACCTCACATATGATTAATCGTCTATTTCTATCCATTGCATTGTCATTCCACTTGCCGGGCTAAGTAGGTAATTGTAGCATTGAAATAGAAAATGTATTCCAAAGCCACAGCAATAGCAGACACATAAGCTTTTGGATCGCAAATGACTAGCATTAACCCTGTCCTATGTTGTATAACATAAATACATGCGGATCTTCAAGTCGAGTTCAAAAGTGAGCGCCGATGTTCGGATCTGATAATTGCCTGCAAGACATATGACGTCATTTATCACGTTTGTTTTGACCTCACATCTTCTACACTCCAATAGGTGAACTAAAGGATTCCAAAAAAATCACATTAAACTAGTAGAAATAACTACTTGTATATGGGTAAACATGTTATCGTGACACAGTTTCTAGTAGACGACCTGAGGCATGTACTATCCCATCAACTGTAGACAAACGCATCGTTTGCTCAGGGTTTTGGGCAACAAAGGCATGCTACGACCTTCCAATGTTCTTTCCCTGTCGGTATATGAATGGATGGCCTTAAGGCAAATACTTGTGGAGATGCACAAGTAGGAGAGAAGGGCGCTTGCCATTGGAAGGTGCGTATTCTGGGAAGGTGCGTCTGCTGAGGGTATAACCCGCCCCTTCTTTTCCCCCGTTCATTGGCATTGAAAATGGAAAAAACAATTTTTGATTCAAAGTCTCATTTCAAAGTTGTTAGGCAATGCTTACTGCTTGGTTTTATTGTGAAGTGCCAACTAGGAACCTTGAAAGTCAAGTAAATGCGCAGATATTTCATGGGCTACCTATAAATGAATAGCTGCAATATAGGATGAAACAGAACAAGGTATACAGCCTAAAGAGCAGTTGGAGTAAAAAGTAAGACTTCATTTGATTCTAATTTAAGGTGAGTAATATATGCAATCCCCCCCAGATGGCTGAGTGGGTGAGAGACACAAGGCCATCTGATTGCTGGGTGAAACAATGAGACCGGGTGATACCGCATTGGGAAGCTCAGTGATGATGACACTGGTTAGGATTTCGATCCCCACCAGGAGTAATTGGGGGGGTTGCTCTTTTTTTTTAATGCTTTCCTTTACAAGCTAAGATACCACCAGTATGAGAACTTTGAACTTATCTCCCGAGGTCATCAGTCAACTGAAGGATATCTATCACCTTCCTCATCACGTTGGGATTTAATGTTCCTTACGTTTGGTATCTCGATGAGGTTACTGTAGATATGTGATTCCTGAGGCCAACTTCTGTCATTCGCTAACCCATTATCATGCAATCTGCAACTTCCAGACATCCACCAGATGAAAGCCATCTACGATGGGCTCAGCACTCGACACGACTTGGAATACAACTGGGCAACAGCGGCAGCCATGATGTAGGAATGAGAGTGGTGCTAGGCTAGCCTCTGTCATTAAACAGCATCATCACCGGTGAACCAACTAACAACATTGCAACCCCATGGCATTGGCAGCTTGTGCAGGTAAATGGCAGACCTCTTGCTTCTTTTGTGGTTTTCTGCTAGTTTTAGCTTGTTGGGTGTCCTTATAGATACCCCGGGCCTACATGTAACATGAGTAATCTTGAAGCGTTCTTGTAACAATGTGGATTCGGTTCCGAGTCCACCTATGTGGCTGGTATCTACGGTACTACAGGTTCCAGACTGGAATCCAACATTCGTAGCATGGCTGATGTACTATATCATGAGGAAACAATGGGCTCTTCAGGGGAATCTGTGCATCGAAGAGGATTAGAAAGGTGGGGAGGGGGAATACCCTCGAGCAGAATGTCCACAGGTAGGACTTTTAAGAGTACATCAGCGAGAGCATGGCATGAAACAGACATGACGAAAGAAACACGGAGGTACAGAGCAGACGGGACATGATCTAAAGAAGCAGGAAAGACATGAAATGGGCATATGGTCTCGTGAGGAAAGTGTGGAAAGGGTAAATAGATAGAGACTAGACGTCCGAGGCATTGGAAATTCGAAGCTTTTTTTTTGTTTTTCTCAATCCATCTCGGTTATAGTCTCTTAGTTGCCGTTGGCCTGCATGCCCGCTGCGGCGGCGGCTTCTGCGTTGGCAGCGGCGACCATGGCCTTGGCGTCAGCTTCATGGAAGACGCCTTGAATGACCTGCTGTTCTTCGGGGCCGAGAACCTTGGTCAGACTCTCGTAGAGCTGGGGCTGTTCTTGCTGGAGGTCTGGGATTGAGGTTAGCAGGCTATACATAAAGGGGATATTCTGTGGAGATCACTTACTGAGCAGAACATGCTTGAACATGCCATATGGCTCCACTTTGTCCAGAGGGGTCTCTAGAAGGCTCTCCTCGTCCATGTCATCATCGTCATCATCGGTGTAGGCGCCGAACTTTTGAGCCTCCTGGTTGAGGAAGTCGAGGTAAGCGGCACTCTCGTCGGTGACATCCTCTTCCTCAAGAGCTGCTTCAACCTCATTTTCATCCCACTCGACATCTCCATCCCAGTCATTGTCCTCGTCATCCTCATCATCCTCATCATCGAGGGTAAAGTCGGACTCCTTGGTAGCATCCTCACGTTCTGAATAAATTCTTAGCCTTGGGGGAACACAACGGGAGATTTGGGGAAACGTACGCTTGAGAGCAGCAGGCAGGGTCTGGAAGAGTCTGGTCACGCCCTGCAACAGTCTTGGCCATCCCTGCTGAACACTGACCGGAACATCTGTAGCCTTCAGGGTAAGTAGAGAGCTGATTGCGGCAATTGATAGCTTCTTGTCATGCACACGTTTGAAGTTGTCAATGTTAGCGAACCAAGTGCTGAAGAACTTGTTGGTCCAGCCCTTGGCCTCCATAACCTGAAGACTAAGAGCTGAGTTGTAGTAGATAGCGTTGATGACCATCTCCATCAAGTGGATGCGGTACGACTTGGTGCGTGCCTCGCCGGCATCGATAACCCGCATAGCCATCTCGATGAACATAGGGATGTACTGGTCAATGTGACCCCGAAGGTTGAGCATCAAGGTCTCAGCAAGCTTGCACCCGCAGATGCGGTCAACTCCACCAACCTTGTCGTCAGAGAAGATGTCCTGCACCATACCAACCATAGCGTCCAGGTAAGCTGGGTTCTGAACCAGCATATCAGACCCATACGCGACATAGTTGTCAAGGGCGGGGAGCATGTCTACACACAGAAAAGTCAATAGAAATTCAAAACGTGTGCATTGATTGGACTTCTTACCTTCGAGATACAGCTCAGCACCAGCCTTGAAGGTCTTGTGAATAAGCTCGAAAGCTTGCCACATCGACGGGGAAATGGTCTTGGATGCGAATGTGCAGCTATCAATGATCTCGAAAATTTCGTTGTAGAGATCTAAAATAACCAATTAGAACTGGACAAACGCTTAATGGATTTGAGGAAAAACTTACCATAGAGCTTGTTCTCCAGGGTGATGCTGATGACGGGCATCAAGATGGTCTCCAGGTGCAGAAGCACGTCGGGGGTGCTCTCGAGTGTGAGAATCAGGGTACCGATGGTCTGCAACACGCCCAGAGCGGTGATGCTCTTGTCGTCCAAGAAATCGCCGTAGCCATCTTCGTCGCCACCCTTGGAGGCGTTGCGCTCCAGGAGCTCACCAACAATACGCATGTAGGTATCGCGGAGCTGCTCGCTCAGCGCCACAGCGAATGGAGTAAGCTCGGCAGAGAAGACCTCAACAAAGTCCTCCATGACGTTGGCCAGAGCATCCACATCGACCTCATTGGCCAACTTGAGAAGCTGCTGCATAATCTGGGGGATGTTCTGCTGCATCGATGTACGGATGACATCGTGACGGATAAGGGGCTGCAGAGCAAGGGCAGCCTCAACTCGCACGGGAAGTTCGGAATCGGTCATGGACTCGAGGATGTTTCGATAGATAACCATCAGGTTGTTTGGGTCCTTGAAGTCGAGCTGCTCAAACTTCTCCAGGGTGTCGCAAGCACGGGCACGGAGGAAGCCGTGAGGACTGCGGAATTCGGGGAAAACATGACGGACGAAGAAGTATTCGACCTGGTCAGCAATCGGGCTCTTCTTACCCAGTATGACGGAAGCAAGTGAGCCAATCATTCTCAAAGCGCCCTCTTTCTCCCTGGGCTGCTTCTGCTCTTCCGGCTCAGACTCATACTTGCTGACAACACTGTTCACGAATGTGAGGATCGAGAAGGTCTGCTTCTTGCGGTTCTTGGTGAGGGAAACCAAGAAGTTTGTGGCAGCAACATCAGGAGCGGACACTTCTTCGTAGAAGTTCAACTTGCGGTGGAGATACTCGGATGGATCGTCCTCGAAAAGCTCAATGTCTTCGTCTGATTGGCACAAGATAGGGAAAACGAAGTGGGCGATCAGGTTGTCCATGTGGGGCTTCAAGTGGTCCCACATGGCCTTTGGCTTGACACACTCCTCCATAAAGACCAAAGTATATGAAAGTGCGGAGTTGCTGAGCCATTGCGTCTTGGACACCCACTTGTCAATCTCCGTCAAGTATCCCTTGAGAATTTCGGGGGCGAAAGTGCTGATAAAGGTCTTCGCGTACGGTGTGTAGTCGGGAGTAGAGGATTTAGTGATCGTGGTGGGGTTGCCATATCTGATGAATAGGCGGTTCAGATTGGCGTATGACCACTTCTTGCACTTCCACCAGTGGTTCATCTCCCTCTCCTCCTTCGTATCTGCCATTGAGTTCGCAGGCGGTGTCTTCGAGACAATGCGCAGGAATAGTGTACACCAGTCAACAGTTGCCTGATGAGTTTGAAGGCACGGAGAAAGCTCGAACTAAATTCGCAACAAGTCAATACAAATGGCCTAGCCATACGCATGCTAGAATCGGGGTAACCAACGTAAATTGCGTGCTTGAAAGCCTTCACCACAATACGGAGCATCTCCGCAGCCTCGAGACTTTCTTCATCAACAAGCTTCGATCCGATGCTGAGAAGCTGGGGGAATGAATGCTCCACGATCTTATCGAACTCCTCTCTCTTCTCGCCAGCCTTAAACCTATAGACTCGGCAGACTGCCAAGAGACACTGCAGACCCGCATAGACCGTACTTGCGTCATTGGTGCCGAGGAGCTGCAGAGTAAGGTCCAAGAATCCGGGCCACTGCTCGGGGAAGTCGTTTTGGAGAATCTTCTGGAGGAGGGGAACCAGTTGATTGCGGACATTGGGAGGGGTCGAGGCCAGAGCAGGGATAAGTCTCTCCCTGAAACTGGGCTTCTCGGCTTCAGGAATTGGCGTACGCTGGGGGCTATCTTCAACGGGGGCCCATCCACGGGTAATACGGTTCTTCAGGTAAACACCGGCTATAATAAAGAGCGGGGTTAGTTAAGAGAGGAGAGTCCTTTCGCGATCCAATATGTGCAACTTACCAGAGAGCTGAACTGCATTGTTCTGCTCGCCCTGCAAGATATCCAGAAGTCCATTGATAAATCCGGGTTGCGTCTCGGCCTAGATATATCAACCACGTGTGAGCCTGACGTTCGGTGCCCCGCCAGTTGATCCAGAACGTACATATTTCAAATCAAGCTCCGCTTGCCGGCGAATATCCGCATTTGCGTCTAGAGTAGACTGAATGCGATCTCGGAGGGCTGTGACATCCATCGCGCAACAATCCCCCAAACACCAGAAAGTCAAAAAATCTCCAAATAAACTGAGAACCCCGAGGGAGACGCGGACCGGCGCCGATGGAAGAGGGGCGAGGCGAAAGAGTCAATAATTGAAAGGACTTGAATGTCCTGAAGAGATCGTATGGATCTTGAAGAGAAGGGGAGAAAAGATGTGTTCTTCAAGAGGAGGGGGATTTTTTTCGATTTTCCGACTTCTCGGGAGGCGGTCGCCCCGCAGCTAATCAGAGGCCGCACACACGGATTTTCTTGGAACTATGGACTACAAAATGTTGTATGTATGGGCTTGGGGTTAATTACTAGAAAATATTACATGGAGTATGAGTATTGATTTCGATGATATTTCATTGTTTCATGTTCATTTCTTCGTCTCGATTTACATTGTGATGAATCCTCCATGGAGAGAGATTCATGACTACCCAATAGGGGCCAAGGTATTAAACCCATATACCCCCTTAAAGATTGAGTATCTTTACATGTAAAGAGAGGCCGCGAAGATGACATCTCGCTTGATCAACTCCTGAGCTTGCTGCATCTTAGTGTAAAGAGTTGGGTCGCCGACCAATTTGGCCGCATTCTTCACTTCGCGACAAGTCTCGTCCAGTCGTGTGATCACCCGAACGATAGTACCTTCCATCACGTCTGTGAGGTCTGTAATGCGATTGAAAGACATGCCCTTGGCCCACTCATAGACAACTTCAGCGAGACCAAAGCGTGGCTTGCTGGCGAAGTCATTGGAATCTTCACTAGACTGGATGACTTGATGCAGGATCTGGAAATCATTCACTTTCTCGGCGATACGAATGATCTCCTTCTGGCCCTTCTCCAGCCGAGGAGTGAGGGTAGGCGTGCTTTCCGTCTTCTCCTGGAAGACAAATGCAGAGAGAAGTGCAACAATCTCCTCTGGTTCATATTCAGCAAGAACGTTCTCGAGAACCAATTCGGTCAATACCAGCTCATCGGCGGAATGAATCTCGCATGCCACCTTGCCCTTTAGTTGTACACGGGAGTGTTCGTCAACAAAGCCGAGCTCCCTCAGCACGTGAATTCGCTGTTCATAATCCGGAAGTAGTTGAAGGTTTTGGTCGGACATCAGTTGCTTCAGCTCCGAGATGTTTTCTTTGACTTGCCACTCGTCGTGTTGCATCTCAAACTATTAGACATTAGTAAAGATGTTCAGAGGGATAGAAATAAAATACTCACGTGGTTCACGAAATCAGGGCATTGTAGACAGTGACATGACTGAGCAATCTCTGCCTGAGCCTGTCGTTTGTCGAGGATATCGCGGATGTCCATCTCTTTGATACGCTGCCAGTCGATTTCGTCCCAGGCAGTATCGATCCAAGAGCTGGTAATCTGGCGCAGTTCCGTTTCTGCCCACTTGGAGGACTCTGTTCCCAAATTAGTCTTTTTGAATAACATGGGCAAAAAGAAGCAAATATCCTCTTACCTTTCCTAATGTTCAAATACCACATTGGTTTCGTGATCTTAACCAGAGTGTTTGTTACGCACTCGAGATCGGATAATGGGATCTTGCATACGCGGAGGCTCATGTCACCGGCGTGAGTTGGAAGCGATTGGAAGTAGGGTCGGAACAGAGGCAAGAATGGAAGAATGTCGGTGGGGTGTCGTTTGCTACTCAATGTTCCGATCTCAAGGACTTGGATACAGGGCACTGCCCCGACAACTCCCGCGGAAACTCCATCGCGAATAATAACACCAGCAGTACGGAGCCCCTCCTATCTTCCACGTTAGCATTTTACCAAACACGTACTATCGCAACGGAACATGTGAACTCACCTTGCGGTACACAACCAGCCTCTTCATTGTGAAAAGACGCTTGCCGACAGGCGATGATAGCAGTCCTGTGTGGAACTCAGCTGTGAGTTTTCGATACTCCATAGCGGCGTTATGACAGGCCAGCAAATCCAGATCACAGATCTCACAGGGTGCCCGTTTGATTTTCTCAAGACTTGCCTCAGATACCTGTACTTGCTTCTCGTGTTCCGGTAAGAGAGCTTGTGTTGCATTTTCACTAAAACTCCGCTTGATCATTTCCTCAATCTTTAGGGCTTCCACGCGCAATAGATTCAGTATCATGTTGTATGTGAGGCGGAATTGAGACCTAAGCTTTGTGGGATCTCCAAGAATCATCTGTTTCAGCGAGGCAGCAGATGGGGCTTCATCTTTTCCGCTGTTGGTCACAATAACGTATCCCACCGTGTCAAGACCTCTACGACCAGCACGTCCGGCCATTTGCGTATATTCGCCGGGTAGGAGATCACGGAAGCTTTTGCCATCGTGCTTACGGAACCCGGAAAATACCACAGTTCGGGTGGGCAGATTCAGGCCCATCGCGAATGTTTCTGTGGCGAACAGAACCTTGACCAGAGACCTAGCGAAGAGGATTTCAACAACTTCCTTCATGATAGGCAGAAGACCGCCATGGTGCACGGCGATACCTCTGCTTAGTAGCTCGCGTAGGCGAAGAATTTGAGGTAGCGTGCGGTCCTCAGGCTTCAAGCGGGTGAGTGACTTCTCAATGAACATATGTGTCAAACTCTTCTCGCTAGCATTGCTGAAGTCTTGGTTTGACAGTGAATCCGCGTTCTCCTCGCATCGCTTCTTAGAAAAAACGAAGACACATCCCGGTAGCAAGTCTTCTTGACGAAGATGCGAAACAAGATGCACCCAAGTGTTTTTATCTTGGGCCGCACTTGTACGACCGCCACCACGTCCTGTGCGAGCAATGTTGCCTGTTCCTCGGTTGGCATACTGGCCGCCGCTCTGTCCCCGACCTCGCTGCGGACCTCCACGCTGCGAGCCGCCGCGCTGCGGGCCCCCACGACCACCTCTGATATTTGCTGGCTGACCGCGTCCCCGGCCCTGAGGGGCCGGTGCTCTAGCTTGCGCCGACTGCGCCTGAGCTTCAGCCTCCTTCTTGGCTTTGGCCTTATCTTTACCGGACAGAATATCATCTGCTTCCTTCCAGCCGCTCTCAAGGAATCTTTTGTTGGCGTCGACGATCTTATGCTTGCTCTTTCCGGCCCAGAGGTAGTGCTCCAGCGGGACAGGTCGCTTATGCGTCGAAATGACATAAATGTCCTTCTTCTTTGTGCGGCCCACCCAAGATGCGAACTCTCGGGTATTGGGCACAGTTGCGGAGAGAAGAATCAATGTGACATGCTCTGGAAGCATAATGATGACTTCTTCCCATACCACTCCTCGTTCGAGGTCGTTCACATAATGCACCTCGTCGAAAATGACGAATTCAACATCCCGGATGAGATCAGCGCCTCGGTACAGCATACTTCGCAAGATCTCGGTGGTCATGATGAGACAGCTAGCTTCCGGATTAATTTGAACGTCACCGGTCAGGATACCGACATCGTCGAATTCGGTTCTGAAATCACGGTATTTCTGGTTACTCAGCGCTTTGATGGGAGACGTGTAAATCGCTTTGGTCATGTGTTTAGCAGCCAAGGCGATTGCATATTCGGCCACAACTGTCTTTCCTGCCGAGGTATGGGCTGCAACAAACACCGAATCGCCATTCTCAAGGTGGTAAACAGCCTCTTTCTGGAAAGTGTCAAGCTCGAAGGGCCACTCTCTGGCCATATCTGGAACCAACTCGTTGAAGTTCGGGATTTCCTTGTTCACGTCCACAACGTGGGCCCACTCTTTACCTTTTTGTTTGTGAACACCAGCGAGCAATTGACTGCGCGGCTCCAATGCCGGGAACTCAACCGGCAGCAAAGCGTCAATGTCTTCTTCGTCACTAACATCATCAAGTTCAGCATCTGCTCCTATATCGACACCCGCAGTTTCTTCAGGTTGTTCCACCTTCAGATCGCTTTCCTCTTGAAGGGCTGTTTCGACCTCTTGGGCGCTCTCAGTGGCGTCTTTGGATTTGGATTCATCGAAATCAATACCATTATCGAAGCCAGGAGGTGTTGTCAGAAGACCTCCCTCGGTGCCAAAGTTTATTATGCGATCGAGCCCAGATTGCTTCCCGTTTGTCGATTGTTCTGTGGCTTGAGTATCGGCTTCCATTGCTGCCAAGGCTTCAATAGCATCTAAGCCCCCGGGAGCGAATGGGAAGAAACCAGCAGCACCTCTGACAAATTCGGCACGGCCGGCAGGTCGGCGGAGAAGCGATGTGGAATTCTTGGCTGTTGCGCTTGCAGCAGGGACCGTGACTTCCTGGTATCCAGTTACTCGTCCTTCCAGTCCCTCTCTTGTGAACCGAGTCACCGTCCGTGTCTGGGTTGGGGCGAGTCCGAAAAGGTCTGCATAATCTGTCGGAACGTCCCATCGTCTGCGAAAGTTGTTAAAAGCTGCCCCCCGCAAATGAAAACAAGATGATGATACTTACTTTTGGAGAGAGTTCAACCATGTCGTGCTGAATTGGTCTGATGGGGTCAGGAACTCATTTTCAAGCTCTGTTAACAACTCTTGAGCACTCTGAGGAGCTTGCTTCCGAGGTTGGAAGTTCTCGATCTTGCCATCCTCTTCGTCTGCGAGGCGAGCATCGAAGGCTGCGGAGTCGAACTGTTTGCCATCCAGGTCTAACTGTTTCATTGGGGAATCGAGCGAGTCAGCCATGGTGTTGAGAGATGTATCGGAGAGTCAACCGGTGAGTGAAATTATGTCGATGATTGAGTCGGCAGTAGCCGAACCCCACACCGATATGTGTATCGATTTCAAGTCCTGGCGGAAAACCGGAAGGAATTGTTCTCTGACGTGATAAAAAGAGGTTAGATAGATGGCATTGAATAAGCGGGTTAAGTTTGACGGAGTGTTCTGAGAGATTTCAGACAAGATTTGTAGCAGCAGGTCTTGGTAGTAAACTTCGATGAAAGACGCGCGAGGCGGTATGGTCCGGCAGTATCCATGACGTCGGTGTGGGGTTATGCTACAATCCATACACATTTACACCGTACATACTTTGATGCTTGTTGGTGAAAATCATGACTTGCGTTTGTTGTTTGTTAGCTACTCGTCACTTGGACCGCAGTTTACCCGCAGTTTGCCAACCAAAAAGCCCTAAATTGTGACGCCCAAGTGACGGATAACTCAATGTCAGAAAGCAACAAGTTCCTACAATCTAGAGATGTAACAACTGCCAAGTGCCTATGTGTTACATCTGCTCTTATATGAAGGTTATACGTAGAAAAGTCCATTGCACAGATTAAGACTTTTTCCGCCTTTTCTTTTGCTGTTGACCAACGCTATCCGAAGACGAGAGACACATCGGTGCATTGTAGACTGTCCTCTACATCTCGAACGATGTAGCTGCCGCAGGTACATGATACCGTCACTCACTATCCTCTCAATTTCCAGTATAACAGCGAAGTGCTAACATATCATGCTATTATACATGTAGTTGAGCCGGACAAGCATGGCACATGTGACATGCTACACCTATTTAAGTCATTATTCCTTGCTTGTTTAATTGTTTTATATTTTTTCAATTCGAACAAGATCATATGAGCGGAAGGAAAAATATGTGACCTAACTTTTTGTACTTCAATCAGTCATACAATGAATTGTGGATGTAGCATGAAAAAAGACAAATGGGATCGAGATAATATGATATACGCCCCTAAGCTCCAAAAGGGTATGTAGTGCAAGAATGACTCCACGGAAAATAAGAATATTTGCTTTGTTAGCACGACAAGAACAGTTCCTAGTAAGGAAGGGCTAATGAGTCGTCTTTCTGCAAAGTGAAGACTAGACCATGACTGTATACAGACCATATTTAGCAGTATGCCTCCTTGTCCAGAGAGATTTCGGACATTTGTAGAATCGGTATGACCAGAAGAAAAAGAAAATGACGAAAGAAAAGTAAAAATAAATGAGACCGGATGATGTTAGGTAGGAAATTCCCTGTAACATCAGACATAGAACGTTAACGGCAAGAGAAGATAGGAAATGTTTTCCGATCGTGAATGTTCAGGGAGAATTCAAAAATCCCCTCCAGTGTGGCAATATACCTGCACATATTAGTCTAATTCCGCAAAGTTGCTATATTGCACACTCACAATGTGCGGCCATCAGCGCCCCAGCCAACTCCAGCAGTGGAATCTGGCTCCTCGGCGCCGGGGCCATGCATTGAATTTCGATCAGGAAGATCATTGATTATGTTTCTGATCCAGCGGGGAGAGTGTGTCTGCTCAAATCCGAGAAGCTGTTGGCGATGCCGTTGTTCCCTTTCAAAGGAACGGTTGTGTACCTCATTAGCAATCTGACGCTGATGTCGAAGCCTCTCAGCAGCGACATTGGCACGAATTTCATATGTGGTGAGTCGCGAGGTGTCGTATCTTCTTTCTGCTCCTGTTTGTGGTCGTTCGATGCGCCGTGGAATGGAGCTTGGTTGCTGGGATCGGTGGTTCAAGCCATGGGTGTCTAGACTTGGATTAGAAGATCCAGTCGTTTCGGTTGAAATACTAGTTTCGTTGTTGGCCGCTTCTGCATCAGTGCCAGTCCGAGAGATAATTTCAGATCTGAGGGGTGTATGCTCTGAATGTGAGGTCGAATAACTGAGGGTGATGCCTGATTGGCGATCATGGTGAGAGGGCGTAGCTTCCAAAGGTCGATCCCCTTGAGATATCACCACAGAGCTCTGGCGCCTTGGATTGGATAAAGTGCGGCCCAGATGGCTATCTCGGGAGACATCAGAAGAATCGTAGCGATGCAGGGGCGAAGTAGGACGATGAGTGCGAGTGGCGCCATCTGTGGAACCATGATTTTGCGGCCGAGCCACTGGTTGAGGTTGAAGACTCGCCCTGGCCGGGCGCTCTGGTCGTTCAGTAAGTCCTTCTTCTAGCCGCGATGTCCAGCGTGCCGTGTTCAAAAACTCCATAATCAACCTTTCTCTTTCTGTCAGATCCTGAATCAAAGACTCTCGTAGAGACGACCGCTCCGTTTGCTCTCCATTCCGTTCAGTCTGGAAGTCTTCGCTGTCGAGTCGTGCTCGTGGCGTCTCCAGAATATCATCGCCCAGGGGGTGTCGTTCGAAGTTCTCTGTGGAAAGGTCCGTGTACACTTCCTGCAATTGCGGATCATCAGAATCTAAATGGAGTATTTGCCTGCGCATAAATTGTTGGCGAACATCGGCCACGCCGGCTCTGCCATGGCCCTCCAGCCATACAAGAAGGTCCCAAGGCTCGGGCGAAAATGTCATACAACGAACGGCACCACCCTCAGCGCATGATCTGGACGTCGGGAATTGACAAATAATAGCAGAGTCGTCGTCCGAGTCGCCAAAGTTCCTGTAAATGGACTCGACGTCGATAACTGTGATGATTCCAGATTGGGACCCGATAGCGCATAAGCGACTGGACGGCGAGAAAGCGACAGTGAAGCAGCACGCATCATCCGCTCGCAGGCCAATGTTCATCTCCAGGCGAGCTATAAGCTCCCATTCCCATCCCGTGAGCTTCTGTCCAGATTCAGTTGTCCCAGAAGATTCCAAATCACGAGTAATTTCATAAAAGTAGGCGTGGTTCTCATCCCCTACAGCCGTGAGCAGTTTAGAATCCGGAGAAACTGTCGCATAGTTCATACAAGTCGGATGATGAAGAACTTTCAAGACTTTAGCGCGAGTCAGCGAATACACTGTGACTGTCCGATCATTATTGCTATTCATGTGAGTTAGCATGGTCAGCATACACCAATTTTCCGACTTGCGCGCACCTCAAAATCACGACATCTTCATCTGCCAACTCCTCGCTGCCCCCATAGAAACGATGAATGGCCACTGAATTGACAATGCTTCCACCAAATTTGTGAAGCTCTACTTCAGGGGATAATCTGCTGCTTCTATAGCGGGTTGACGCAGATTCGCCATTGAAATCTGACGAAGTCAAACTTGACGGTGGGTCAAGATCGAGCGGAAGCGCACTATCCACATCGGCCTGGAAGGGCGCATCGCCATGGACTTGCATTCCGCGATCGCCGATGTGAATAAAAGCACATTCCCCATTTTCTGGGCCCCCAACTACTATCCACCCATGTCCAGCGACCAGACAGCGCGGCTCAAATGGGATCACGGCTACACTTTCGCGCTTTTGTGCCGATATATGTATTGAATACACGATTCTCTCGACGACGACATAAATGCGATCGGGATCAACAGTACTAATGTAGTTGCGAAGCTGTGTGTGACTAGAACAGAGCTTAGGTCAGGTTGCGCACGGAAGATAAGGAAGATAAGTGGGTTGATCAACGAACAAGTTGGGGATCTTGAACGGGAAGAAGCGTCGCTTGCTCGGGAGGATGAGAGCCTCGGTTGGGCGATGTCTAAGACCACATTAGAGCTATTTCCGATAGTATGCTGCACCAGACTCACAGATTCGAGTCCGAGGTCATGGTGGATAGAGCTAAGCCAGAGATGACATTGTTCGAGCGGGGAAGTTTGAAGACAAGACGGGGGCTTCCCGTTGGAGTATGGCAACTTGACAGTTAGAGGCACTTCTTTTTTTTTCCTTTTGTTCTTGAAAAATTTCTCTTTGAATAGTCTGTGCTCTTTCTCACTCTCTGCAGTTCAGAGTCAAACTGGGTGCTTTTCATGGATGACGTAAGACATAGGACTGGGACAAAAAGCCGGGGAACTGTAAATTCCAACTAATGCGGTTTGACTGTCACCCCGGAACCGGCCATGATCATTCATTATGATGCACTACACTGTGTATTTGGGAATCTTTTTTTATTTTTAGATTCTGGATTCTATATATTCTATATATTCTATATATTCTATATATTCTATATATTCTATATATTCTATATATTCTATATATTCTATATATTATTCCATATATTCCATAATGATACTCGCCAAGTCCCAGTTCGTGCGGTCAAATGCGGTCAAATGCTGAGTCCCAACGATCTGGACCAGGCGTTGTTTCCCCTCCCGAAGTACATGGATTGTCATTAACCATCTAGATCCAGGCTGTCTTCTAGGACTATTCTCAATTTTGTCTCAGGTTCAGCCAAATCAACAGCGAAGGGGAGTTTACCGACCAGGTCACACGACATGTTGAGAGTATGACTGGTTCACCCACTGGAGATACACGATCGTCGCAACTGCTATGAGGAAGAAATGCTTATTGCGACAGCTCTTTTACACTTTGTACAATATTATCATATATAACACCAGATCGTATATATGGGTCTCGGGAGTAGCTCGGAGCTAAGGTTGTGAGTCTTTTGCCACATCGGAATGATATGCCATTGAACTGCCACCTTATTACTTACTACGTGTGAAATATGTAGTTTGAACTCCTCTATTTGTCTAAATTATCCCCATATATCTGAATACATGCCAGCAGATTGAAAAATCTATCGCAATTCAGTATATCTATATCATCTTCCAATGTATACCCTCACAAGGCGGTGAGCTCGGTTACCTAGGAGGCTGTCGGCGGCAACTCTGGCTCTCCCGTCCTGATTGGTCAAATCCCGTGGTTCTACCAAGTTCGACGGGCCGAAGCTCTCCGTGCAATTTCTATTTCCTTTTCCCCTTCTTTTCGATTCCATCTCTCCATCTCCATCTCTTCAACCCCTTCTTCTGTCTTTTTGCTTCACGATTGAGTCGTTGGAGTATCTTTTTTTTCTCTTTTATTAATTAATTTATCACAATGCTTCCTCGCACAATTACTCGCGCTGTAAGCTCTACCTTTTTCCCCCGAAAAAATTCTACGCGTCGCACGTCACTGACTCAAGTTTCTCACAGCTCCCGCGCGCTGCTTTTGCTCGCACTCCTGCCTCCAGACTCCCCGCCTCATTCCGGAGATGGAACTCTACAGAGGGTGGTGAGGAGAAGGTAAAGGGCCAGGTCATCGGTATTGATCTCGGTAAGTACTGATGCAAGATGGAACTTGACTTTTAATCCAAATAGTATTCTAACATGATTCATTCTAGGTACCACCAACTCTGCCGTCGCTGTTATGGAAGGCAAGGCCGCTAAGATTATTGAGAACGCCGAAGGTACGTTAGGAAAAAATTTCGACTCCTGCGGACAAGTGGTCAAGCTCGAATCTAGGAGGCTTCCACGGTCTGATGGATCAAATGGGATTGAAAATTAACTCGATCTTTCAATAGGTGCTCGCACTACTCCCTCCATTGTTGGTTTCGCCCAGGATGGCGAGCGCCTGGTCGGTATTGCCGCTAAGCGTCAGGCCGTTGTCAACCCCGAGAACACCCTGTTCGCTACCAAGCGTCTGATTGGTCGCAAGTACACCGACGTTGAGGTTCAGCGTGACATTAAGGAGGTTCCCTACAAGATCGTCCAGCACACCAACGGTGACGCCTGGGTTGAGGCCCGCGGCCAGAAGTACTCTCCTTCCCAGGTTGGTGGCTTCGTCCTCAACAAGATGAAGGAGACCGCCGAGGCCTACCTCGGCAAGCCCGTTAAGAACGCCGTTGTTACCGTGCCCGCCTACTTCAACGACTCTCAGCGTCAGGCTACCAAGGATGCTGGTCAGATTGCCGGCCTGAACGTTCTCCGTGTCGTGAACGAGCCTACCGCTGCTGCTCTTGCCTACGGTATGGAGAAGGAGGCTGACCGTGTCGTCGCTGTCTACGATCTCGGTGGTGGTACCTTCGATATCTCTGTCCTCGAGATCCAGAAGGGTGTCTTCGAGGTCAAGTCTACCAACGGTGACACTCACCTTGGTGGTGAGGATTTCGATATTCACCTCGTCCGCAACATCGTTGCTGAGTTCAAGAAGGAGACCGGTGTCGACCTTACCGGCGACCGTATGGCCATCCAGCGTATCCGTGAGGCCGCCGAGAAGGCCAAGATCGAGCTGTCCTCTTCCCTCCAGACTGAGATCAGTCTTCCCTTCATCACTGCTGGCGCCAGCGGCGCTTTGCACATCACCCAGAAGATGACTCGTGCTCAGCTTGAGGCTCTGGTTGACCCCCTTATCTCCCGCACCACTGAGCCCGTCCGCAAGGCCCTGAAGGACGCCAACCTCCAGTCTGGCGACATCCAGGATGTCATCCTGGTCGGTGGTATGACCCGTATGCCCAAGGTCACTGAGTCCGTCAAGTCCATCTTCGGCCGTGAGCCCTCCAAGTCCGTCAACCCTGATGAGGCTGTTGCTATCGGTGCCGCTATTCAGGGTGCCGTCCTGGCTGGTGAGGTCACTGATGTTCTCCTGCTCGATGTCACTCCTCTTTCCCTCGGTATCGAGACCCTCGGCGGTGTCTTCACTCGTCTGATCAACCGCAACACTACTATCCCCACCAAGAAGTCCCAGACCTTCTCCACTGCTGCTGACATGCAGACCGCTGTCGAGATCAAGGTCTACCAGGGTGAGCGTGAGCTCGTCCGTGACAACAAGATGCTCGGTAACTTCCAGCTTGTTGGCATTCCCCCCGCTCACCGCGGTGTTCCCCAGATCGAGGTCACCTTCGATATTGACGCTGACTCCATCGTCCACGTCAACGCCAAGGACAAGTCCACCAACAAGGACCAGTCCATCACCATTGCCTCCGGCTCCGGTCTTTCCGATGCTGAGATCCAGTCCATGGTTGAGGAGTCCGAGAAGTACGCCGAGACTGATAAGGAGCGCAAGGCCGCCATTGAGGCTGCCAACCGCGCTGACAGCGTCCTGAACGACACCGAGAAGGCCCTCAAGGACTTCGAGGATCGTCTTGACAAGGCTGAGGCTGAGACTATCAAGGAGAAGATTGCTACTCTCCGTGAGTTCGTTGTCAAGAGCCAGTCTGGCGAGAGCACCACCACTGCTGAGGAGCTTAAGGAGAAGGTCGACGATCTCCAGACTGCCAGCTTGACCCTCTTCGACAAGATGCACAAGGCCAACAACGAGCAGCAGCAACAGCAGCAGCAGGGTGGTGAGCAGCAGGGTGAGACCAAGCAGTAAATGCTTTTTCTCTTTTGTAACTGCCACACCTGAACCGTAATTGGTTCCTGTATTTTTTTTATCAATTTCCTTATGTTTTTTCTTTTTCCTTTGTGTTCAGAGACTCCCTGATTTTGCATCTCCTTTCTTCGCATTTACCTGTACACATACTTTCAAAGCCCTTTTTTTACCCCTTTGCGTTTTCCGGTGTATCGGTGTTCAACTACCACACCCATGTATGATCCTATATTCTTTTCTCTTCTGCCCTCGTGCCACTGTTCGGGTTAATTGCCTGGAAGTGATCATGCCGGGATTGTCTACAATTGTATTTAATGACATTACGGCAGGGGGGCCACAAAAAAGGATGTGGTAGGCTTTGGCTTTCATGGGCATGTTACAATAGAAATCGGACAATTCTCCTCTCGCTTCACAATTATTTCCAACTCGCAACTATAAGATTTAGTATCAACGTTATCATGTGTGTAAATGTACATATACTTTTCGCCGATCTTGTGGTGACACCCGGGGCAGTTGAAATCTGCTAGCTCACGGATGCAGTCGTAGTTGCTTCCGGCCTGTCAGCTTCTTAGCTCTAGATGTACATACATCCATGGATGTAGGTACATATGTACATGATACCGGCCAATCCAAATTCATAGCACAGAGGCAAACACCACACTGCTTCACTGCAATATGATGCGCTTTCTCACTTTGCAGCATGTGAACCGTTCCCATATACACTCTGCATATGTTGTATGGGATAACAATACACTCTTTAGTATTGGCTAATCATAATAGTAATGAGAATATTCATTCGCCTGCTTATGTGGCCTCCTTGACGTCAGGCTCTACAGAGTATATCCGACTCAGTTACAGACGATATAAAGGGCGTTATATCTAGAATAACACCCCTATATTTTGCTGCATCCTCTGTGTTGAAGCTAGAAGCGATATATATAAACGATCTAAAACGCATCAATCGTCCAGACGCTTTTTCCACATATAACCAGGGATATAGCAACCAATGAAGGCAATAGTGGCCAAGCCAACTATGATTACGATGTACATAAGTGGTGACAGTGGCTTTTATTCCCGGAATACGGAATCCGGAGTACAACATACATTTAAACGCGTTTAATCAGAAGCATATTACTGGACTTACAGAATCATGTCCACCGCAAAGTCAAATATCTGGAGTAATGACAACAATGATAGGCCAGAAGCTCCTAATTGATGGGGTTTAACCCTTAGTCACCCAGAGCACACGTTGAGCCAGTGACCTGGAACTGCATGGCTATAGCAATCTATTGATTTAATTCTGGGGTCTGCACCTCCACTTCGTACAAGGTTTGAACTGGACCAATCGAGACTATTGCCTCCTCATCCTTGCATTATCCACTGAGAATCAAGGCTAGTTCAATGGTAGTGAATAGAATTCAGTTGAGAAGGGATAGAGTTGAAGGTATGAGAAGGGGGAAAGGACTACAATATTCATAGTAAAAGGGTTAGGTTTCTGCAAGATTGTATTGTGTCCCTTGTGTCCCCTTGACCGGAATGCATGATCTTACAATTGTCCTTGATACATGTTTCCAAGGGAGAAAACAAGATTTTGGCCGTATATTAAAACACGAGAAAAGCAACTTCTTACTATTAGGCCAATCTGGACTCGAACAGAGGCAACTGTGCAGGTTTTCCCTGCAGCAAATCATCGTTGTACACACCAGTTGGGCTGCCACAGTGGGTCTTTTCGCAATGTAAATAATTATTTCTAATAAGATTATGGGCTTGTAAAGAACATTTGAAATAGAAAGATTTGGTACGGAGTATCTAAATTTGTATAATAGATTGGATATTCAAAGTGTAAGACGATTCTTAAATTAAATCCCGGGTTCAATGTAGAAAATTTTCAAAACGCCATAAATTCTCCCTTCGTCGATCACTTCTGGTGTGAGACCATCTGCCTTAGCGTGCCCCCTAGTACGAATGATTATTTCCATTTCTCCACTTTGTTGACATGTGTATTTATTTATTTATTTTCCCTCTCTTGCTGAACTTTTCCCTTTTTGTCATTACTTGCCTTTACAAGCTAAGCCCTGGCGTTTGTTGCAGCCCCATCCCTCTAAGAAAATAAGTCGGAGAGAATCAATACGGAGTATAAGACCCATATTCTAGTTACAGTTTTGGGGTAGGGTTGACTTTTTCCTTGATTTCTAATCCTTTGAAAATAAAATTATATAGACTTGGGATCTAATAATGGAGTAAGTACGGAGTACGGAGTACTCCGTACAGATTAGAAGATAGTACAAAATCAAATAGATTTATGCCACCAGACAATATGTGGAGAGTAAAGGTGTGGGATATCAGATGTGTTGACATTTGATTCTTCCCGCTTCTATGGCTACCATGGAACTTCTCAGGAACACTGTATTACATAATCTCCAGAATGAGCAGACCCTTGGCAATAGTAGATCTGTTGCTTATTATTGGATAATTAGCTAGGAGATGGAAAATTCAATCATGGAAGCTCTGATTCGAGGCTTTTGATGTTTAGCTTTTCAATTGTTAGATACATAAACCGACTATTAATAAGGTATTTTTTTTCTAATTTGGTTAAAAAAAAGGAGCTAAATTTCAGAATTGAAACTTGTCCCTTAATATTTTAAAATCAGTAATTGGACTTGTCATTCCCCTGAAGATGTCAAGTGACTTCCAAATTTGTATGGAGATGCCGATCATTGGTCCGTTATATTAGGCTCCATTTTGATCCAAAGGAAATGAACATTTAGGGCTATCCATGGATGACGCTGATTTGTTTATTATACTAGCGTCGAGCCAATTCCATGGATGAGTTGTCTTTTCTTGTTTTGGAGGAAAATAAAAAACCATTGTATATACAACCTTGGAACAATTGTAAACATGTAAACATGTACATATAATTTTCATGTTTTTTGATGTTCCTATATTCTATTTCTCATATTTCAATACTACAATCGAGATCCCCTGAGAGCCATGAGATCCTTAAGATCCCCTGAGATCCCCTTACGCCGTTAGGGGAATTTTCAAGATAACGGGGGTGCAGAAGGGTCGCGCTAGTGGAAGAGTCATTTCTTATTTTCTATTATTATATTATATTAAATTATTAAATTATTTTAGTTTATTTCACATTTTTTTTTTTTTGCATTATTTTACTATTTTACTATTTTACTATTTTATTAAAGATTATACTTAGAGGTCTGAATGTCAATCCTTTCCAAACCGTCGACCCATAGATCGGAGATGGGTCTTCCCTTTCGATCCTTGTCTCATCCTGTTTTCTATTTTTCTTCTTTTTCCTTTCCTTTCCCTTGACTTCTTCATACTCTCTTCAGCTTTTGGAGGGTTCTTGTATAACTTCTAGCACATCCATAATGACAACTGCACCGCCGGTGCATCACCCTGGCCCCGATAGTGGTATACCCGGTCATCTCGTCAATCTTCCTCGCTATCATCCCATTGCCATGAATCCCAATCCACCTCCACACCAAATGCCACCTCCGGAGCAGATGGTACAGAGCCACCATTTCCGTCATTTTGCACCGCCAATGCATGAACATCACCAAGGAGTACCACCAGTACACAGTCCAGCTACTTTGGAACATATTGAAGCTCGACTCCGGCAGCTAGAGCATGATGAAATGGCTCGGAATGCAACCCGTAGTCGTATTCTGGCAATGCGCAAGCATGAAGATGAGGAATTTCGATCAATGACCGAGCGAGCCGAGGCAGAGGAGGAGGTAAGCCGAAAATTTTGGTACCAGGTTGAGGAGTTAGAATTCTAAAACAAGCTTCAATAGGATCTCCGAAGACAACGCAAGAAGTTAAAGAGAGAGTCCATGGGCCTAGGACTCAATGCCGCGAGCGACTCGCCGCCTCTACGGCCCACACCACCTCGCCGATTATCAGAAACCAGTGCAGCAACAACATTGGCTTTCTTCAAGCAACAGAGCCCCCCGGAGCCCCGTCAAGCACCTCTTCCACCTTCATCTCAGGCACCACCCTCAATGCCGCCACCTCATATGCACGCTCAGCCTCATCATCAAGCTCCTCCACCTCCACCACCATCTCAGCATCAACACCCAATGCTTTCCCATGACTCAATACACAGCGCGGGCTCCATCCGCCGCAAGCAAAAATACACCATCAAAAATGTAGAGGCATGGGGGGAACGTCACGGTCGACCCGCAGCTCATGACCCATCAGGCCGAGCATTGTGGAAGCGACCCTCTGACGGAAGTCTAGTATATCTCACCTGCCCGATCCACGGCTGCGGGAAATCCGACTTCGTCACTCTCCACGGCTTCATGTGCCATCTCACCAAGAAACACAAAGACCGCACACTGGGCAGCCAGTCCCGCGCCCTTGAAGTTTGTGGTGTAGTCTACGACCCGAACTCTCCCCTCCCACCAGTCATGAACAACCACCGGGCCTCAACAGAAGGAAGCCCGCTGGGTTCTAACCCCATGGACCACGACGGCGATCAAAACTACGATGAGATGGACTCCGAGTCCGAAGGCGAGCTCGAGGGCTCCTACCGAGTCAAAACCGAAGTTCTAGATCGGTTCATGCCCGACGCCGAGGGCACTCCCGTCGACTCCGCGGCAACACCTCCCAAACACGCAGTCAACGGATCAACCAAGCAGTCTATCTCGTCTATTATCGACCGCACCCCGGAAACAGATTCCAGAGAGGTGCTGGCGACCCTCCCACCATCAGAATCGGGTATCCAGGGTCCATCCCCTACACCAACCGAGTCGTCTGTGCCATCCAAGCGCAAGTACGAATTCTCGCCGCCAGCTGCGGAAAAAGAAAACGCCGAGCCTTAGTGACCATGCGGAGTAATGTTTATCTTCAATGTCGATATCCGCCGGCAATACATATATACACCTACATAATTCTTTCTTGAGCGTCTATGGGTATCAGGGCTCTCTCGATATGATAATCAATTGCATCATGTTACTATTAGATTTTTTTGCTGTATCTTCAAATTGCTGTTTTCGAGCGTGGATCCTTGTTATAGATATGTTTATATACCGAATTTTAGGTCGTGAATTCCTGGATCGGGGTTCCTCCGCTTTATGAGGGCGCTCAAGATCTTCCTCACTGAGTACTTAACATCACAGGGGAATTACTCCTAAGGCCAGTCCTGACCTCGGAGAGTGGCCGAGGCTGGAATCACCAGTGCACCTGCTGATTTTGCTTAATAGGATGAATTGGGCAGTGACATCCATCCAGAGCCAGGCCGGGCCCGAGGGGCCTTGGTGTATGCTTAGTGATCTTCAATTCTATCCATCCATGCCACCCGTCTTGAAGGCAATTGAAAGGCCGGATTCCTTGATTAGCCCCCATTAGCCAACTCCCTTGATGTCCCCATATTCTTGTCTCTTCAGGAATTTGTGGACCTTCGAAGTGGCCATGAGTTGTTTTGATCTGAGTTAGTTTCATGTGTGATCTATGTCACAAGGCCTTTCTAAATGAAGTCAATTCAAAACAGCTATACCGGGCTCCGGCGCGTTACTTGTTAACGTGGGATATGGTAGGATATGGTAGAACGGGATAATTTTGTACTTTGCAGGTCCAAGTTTTGTCTCCCATAATTAGTAGGATATGGTGGGATATGGTAGGACGGGATAATTCTGTACTTTGCAAGTCCAAGTCTTGTCACCCATAATTAATATGTACTCCGAAAAGAAAATTAGGTCATCATGGAGTTCCAAACATTCACAGCCTCCTCTCCAGTCAAATTCGCCACTGCCCTCTCCGCCGCATAACACTGGTCAATCGTAGCCTGGGGAGCATTACAAGGGCTGCGCAGACGGTTGCAAATCAGGTCGGTTGGGGCACCAACAGTTGGGGACGAGCCGAAGGGGAAGTCTTTCTGATTGTTGGTCGTAAACGCCCACTCCGTGCGGCCATCAAGACCGTACTCCCATTTGATAGTCGGGTCCGAGCAGGTTCCATAGTCAAGGGAGCCAGAGGGGTTGGGGTTGCCAGTGTTGTTACAATCATCCGAAGTCACAGTGGTAGTAACCTCGAGGGTAAAAGTGTTTGTGGTTGTCACGGTGGAGAACTCCGTCACGACCTGGTTCTCAGTGAAGGTGGTTGTGTCGGTGATGGTCTGGGTGACTGTCTGCGTTTCGGTCACTCCGGGATCGGTGACGGTGATAGCGCCAATGGTTTCGGTTGTGGTTGAGACTGGGCCGTTGGTTGTGACAGTTACAGTGGGACCATTTGTTGTAACAGTGGTGAGGGCAGTGGTCGTGGCGGTGCACCTGCTAATCGTCGAGATCAGGGTATCTGTCTTCGTGACGGTCGATCCACCGCCATTGTTGCCGGTAGTGGTAGTGACAGTCGATGTGCAGGCACTGATCGTTTGAGTGACAGTAGCTGAGCCATTGTGGTCATTATCGGTAGTAACGGTCACTGTGGCAGTGATCGTCGCTTGGATATTGCCAAGATCTTTGATGTGATTGCCGCAGTGGGTGTTGTCGAACCCGCCATGGCCTCCAGGACCATGGCCAGTGTTTTCATTGCCGAGGTCGACGTCGCCTTTGTGGCCTGCGCCTGCCCAGAATCCATCATTGCTCCACTCATCACCACCACCCCTAGCACCACCCGGGGCGGGAGCTGCAAGGGCAGGGACTACCTGCAGCAGGATGGCCGAGAGAGCGGCAAAATTGGCGAAAGATCGCATAGTAGAGTTAAGATTACTATTAAGTTGATGATAATCAATATAGAAGAAGAAAAAGGAAAAAGAAACAAAATGTAGAATGAGAAACAAATCAGTTGTCGAGTTACTATGATGGCATGAAGGTGGATAGCTTGTGTAGTTATATATATATATATAGTATATATTTACTAGCAAGTACGCATGCATCTAAACTGAAGGGATCGGTATGTGGAGCTTGTTGATCTTTGCACTAATCAACACAGTCGGAAGTATGTTCCAAGATCGGAATATCGAGTTATTCTTAGGGCCTTAAGAATGAGCAGCATATAAAACTCCAAATGTCCGATATTGTGCTTGGCAGGTTGCCTACTCAAGGCATTTGATAACCTAGGTGGTTATACTGTTTTACTTTGTTTTGATGTATTACTTGCACCATTGGGCCGAAGAAAAATTATCTTTTCCCGATCAAGTCCTCGCCTGTAGATCTACTTTCTTGATGAACATCAAATTCCCATTCGACTGTTTAGATTGGTATCCTTATTAGGTATTTAATTTGAAAGTATAAATTTCAAAGAATGGATCTGACAGTACTACCTAAAAAAGCCCTAACTAGCATTCCCGGTACCTGTATTGCGGGCATTATAACGTCGTCCGTACCCTACCAGTTTCATCTATTTGCAGTGTTATTCCCCGCCAATATCTTGATGCTTATATCTCTTGAATCCAGTAATCTTTAGACTATAGGATAAGAACAAAACCCTTCCAGAGCTAGCATTCCAAGGTTGTAACTGTGATACCACATATGGAAGGAAAGGCAAGGAGAGGGGCGAAGGAGACATTTGCAACCCTGTTTTGTCGTTACATTTGGACAAAGAGCTAAGAGGTAGCAAAAACTCGGATAGAAAATAAAGGCAAGATCTACACAACAGGATTGTCCGTGTGGGGAATAAGTAAACATCACTGCTGAGAGATTGAGGACAAACACAGTGAAAATTGCCATTAACCGAGCCCAGGGGCTTCTAGATGCTAGTATTATTGGTAGGAGTATGGCCAAACCAGGATTCCAGAAATACCAACTTCTAGTTTTTAGCCATTGAGAGAAGGCCCTTGCGGATTGTATATTGTTGTCAAAGATATTAAGAATTTTCCGAGAAAAACAATACTTTTGGCTTTTTGGCTTAGAATAGAGAGGATATGACGGAGCTGGTCTACATTGTACCCCATTTACCCATACGAGGATCAGATGTTCTAGCGTGGGAATCGGTCGAATGTTGCTTGTCTCAGGTTCTGGGATTCAAGCGCTCTCTAAATGAAACTCAAATTGCCTTGATTGTTTGACCAGTATGTCACTGTTATTCTTTACCAGCTCTAAATTCTTTACAATTTTATGGTTCCATTCTAGTAAGATTGTAGATCCTGGTTGGAACTAGGTATCTTCGCGGATACGCTAGAGGGTTGCCATAGTCACCAACGAGGAGCCTTGTCTACAGAATCCGGTGGGATCAACTAGAATCAATAGGTACGTCAGCTCACTGTATAACGTATTTCACAAGCGAGTGGCCCACGCCAAAACACATAGTAAAAGCGATAAATTACAATATGATATTGCAACAACGGTCATGTATATGAACTTTTCCTTACAGCCTAATGCTTTTTATATAATAACTAGGTGCTTTGTAGAGTTTTAGGAAATTTGATAAAGTAGTGATTAAGACATATATATATGTAGGATTTGACAGTGTATTTTTTAGTAATTTTCGAAACCATAGGAAACACAAAGTCTTGATTCATCTAAAATTGATATATGATACTAAAAGCTCTTATCGATTACTATCAGCAAGTAGAAAGACCAAATAAATACATTGGTTGTCGAGATAAAAGTGACAAGTTTATCGTTTTTACTATGTGTTTTGGCGTGGACCACTCGCTTGTGTGGACCACTCGCATGTGAAATACGTTAAGCAGATATAGCCGCCGCAGTCTCTAATATCACGGCGTCTTACTAGCTGGCATCGAAAGTAGTTGCTTCATTATCAGAGATAGTCAATAGATTAATGAAGAGAACAGGAAAATTTATGCACCCTGATCTTCAATGGAGGCAAGAGGCCGGATATCTACCACAAAGACTGAATACGGTTAAATTGGATGAATTAATGCTGGCGAGGTAGCCTGACTCGTGAGCTAGGGTCGAAGCTGAATAACGAGGACGCTTAGCCATCTAACGGGACTGTGGCTCTTTACATGCATTGACTTTTAGCATTAACAGCTACAATTATCGCAGAGGGCTACTAGCACTTGAGCTCCTAGGACATATTATTTGTGTCTCACCAGTCACTTGATAGTAGCACGACAGGTCTAGGGGCTCCTAGGAAGACCTACTAGGCTTCATGTATTTAGTACGAGTGCTAGTTAGAATATATTAGGCAAATAAGGGTTGTGAAACTAGGAGGATCGGCTGCCGCATTGATAATGTCAGCCCTTAGTTGAGCGGACACCAGTCAAGGGCGTTAGGGACCTTGGGAAGACTAGCGTGGTGCATTTAATGAGGTGAACTGCTGACTTGGCTGCCCTCTCACTTCAATTACCTAGCAGTACCTAGGTTGGTAGTCGTGCTCATTGGTCAGAGCAACCTCGGAACTCATCCGGCTTTTATAACGATAACTGATTCTCCCGAGGTCAGGGTTCACCGAGTTTAATGCTTACGCAAAACCTAGGGCATCCCTGGAGTGATGAAAAGCGGCAAGGAGCGAGCACTAAAGTGGAAAGGAAAAGCCATATCCGCGGCCTAAAATATATGTACTCTTCAAGAAGAACAACCCATGTCCGAAGTTTGAGCCCAGATCAAGGTCCATATTAGTCTGATTCATCTCTAAAAATCCCTCAACTTTAGCTCGAAATTGTTCCAAGCAATCTCGCTCGTTGTCACCATCTCACTGTACGGTGTACCTAGTGATTTTAGTAAAAAGGGAACTTGAGCCTCTAGGCGAGCTATGTACAATACCTGGACAGCATGCCGCAACGTGCAGATCACTAGTACTTATGTTGTATCTACAGCAGTACTTTCCTATTTATCCTTCGCCAATAGCAGATGTACCAAATATCCAGATCCACTCCTCAGTCCCTCCCCAAGCACATCATCACTCAACCTCCAAACCCGGAACTCCCGCATTGTCTCCCTGAGCCAAGTCTCAAACACATCCGGCGACCTCTGCTGCTGCGCGATAATGCAAACCGTCGGCTTGCGGTGCGAGATCTGTTCCTCCGAACCAGCTACATATGCCGGCCGCAATCGACAGATCTCGGCGCAGGTGCGCACGAATGGCGCTACAAGTGCTTCATTGTAAATGCAGTCGCAGGAAATGAGGAGGTCGAAGCCCTTATCTTCGTCTTCTTCCTCTCCATCTTGACCATGAGCGTCACCGGGTTCCATACATTCCTTGAGTGAGGCGGCCTGGTCAGTCTCCCAGTCTAGGGTTGTGAAGGAGATATTATCGATAGGCTTGGCGGGGGATGATGTTGGCTTTGATTTGGATGATTTGGATCCCTTGCTCTTGGCTTTTGCTTTGCTGTTGCTAGAAGAGACAGACACAGACGCATTGGCTTCAAGGTTCGTCCGGAATAACTTGCGCACGTATTCCTGGTCTGTGGCGATATAGTGGTGCACTGAGGGCGCCAGGACGAGGGCGACCAGTGCTGAGATGCCGGTGCCGAGTTCGACTACTGTTGAGGTCTGGCTGAGCAGGGCGTTTGCCCAGAGCGGATTTGAGGGGTTGGTTACCCATTCTGCGAAGAGAGGGGTAATTTTCCAAAGAACTGAGTTTCTTGGGTTAGTACTGATGTAAGTTTGGTATGGATGTTTATTGATGGCAGTGTCATGAAAGCGGGATACTTGGGGAGGAGTGCCAAGATATCCCAAGGTACGGATAAGGGAAAAGCCAAGAGATACTAGAGCAGGTGATAGCTAGACCTCGTGTTTGAGGGGTTAAAAAGTACAATGTGACAGTGTTAGGGCCAGAGTCAAAAAAGAGGGACAATCGCGCCGAGAGCCGAGGCACAGGCAAACGGATTCGACTCGACGCCGTGACCCTCGGGCCTGGTCTGGGCACTTTCGGACTCGGCTAAAAGACCCGCGGAGTAGTGTCCGAGCTTGAGTTTTCGTGTCTCTGGGGGGATTCCGGGGGACAAATCATAAAAGAACTGGTGTAGATCATGCGAACTCATGAGTATGTGTACTCTGTACTCACCGGCACCTGTAGTACCTCCTGCTCGATGGGAGGAGAGTAAAGATGGGGATTGATGGATTATGTATTCATTGCCATTAATAGAAATCTCTACTGATGGTGCACGGGGACTGAGCATTCCTAGGTTGTTGCTCGTGATGTCCTGGGCAAAGAGGAGAAATGATTCTATAAGCTCAACTCAGTAGCTATCCATGGATATAGCTTGAAATAATCGTAAGGGTGGCGTACCCTCATCCACGTCAATGACCTCTTCGCCATTAGAAAGTAATTCGATGAGTTGGTCCATTTAAAATAGTTGTAGTTGATATGCAGTTGATATTCTTGGAATTTTAGAATATATATTTTTTTTACAATATTTTTTTGCGATCACGGGACCAGATATAAATTCATATTTAATATGGAGTACACCCTATACAACATATAAATCATTCTATACGTTCATATTTAAGTAGTTCTTGTTAAGGTTCTTTTACTCCGCATCAAAGCTATAAAAATAATTGTTGGGGACCCAACAGAAAAAAAAAAAAGTAAACGGGTAACTGATCTGCCGGTTAAATATACTGTCAAGTCAATAATAACTTGCTATACTAGTTATTTATTGCTCTAAGATTATATAGTAAAATGACTACACTCAAGGAATAGATTAAAATATTTTTTTCCCGAAAACGCTTGTGTTAGGACTCGAATATAAACAAAAAAAAAACAACCAGGCCGAGAGAAACCTTGGACCTCCTGCGTCATATGCCGTAGACCAGCCACATATATCCAACCTCAAAAGCCAACTTTCTCCTCTTCTCTCGAGGTGAATGCTCAGACAATAATACTTTTTATTCCTTCACTTGGTAAGATTCATTTCATTATAGCTCCTATTCCAGCATCCTGGTTTTTTGCCCCCTGGGTTACTCCGCGCTATTTCCCGCACTAGCTAACCTCAGACCCCTCGAGTAGAGGAACTTTTCTTCGAGTTTCCCCGATCCCCCCGGCTCCTTCCCCTTTTCCCTTGAGCGAGCCATACAGTCAATATGTCGCCACAAAACATCGTTCTCCAGCCGCGCATGTCCAAGAAGGGCCCCTTCTCGGTCGAAGCACCCGGGTATGAGCGTATTCCCGGTGAGACAATCCCTCGTCGGCACCCTAAGGCCAAGGATGGTCTTATTACGACGCTCCCAGATGTCACTACCACCTACGAGAATATGCGCCGGTCCGCCCGCGTCTTTGGCAACTCCAAAGCTGTTGGCAGTCGCCGGCTAATCAAGACCCATGTCGAAAACAAGAAGATCAAGAAGATCGTGGATGGTGTCGAGCAGGAGGTTGACAAGCAGTGGACCTATTTTGAAATGAGTGGTTATACTTACAAGACCTTCCTCGAATATGAGAAGCTCTGTCTAGAGCTTGGTAGCGGTCTCCGCAAGCTGGGCTTTGAGAAGGGCGGTAGAATCCACCTTTACGGTGCGACGAGGTAAGAGACATATTGCGCCCCAAAAGATATTTGGGGTAGTATGACTGACTTGTCCTTAATAGCGCAAACTGGCTGGCTATGTCACACGGTTCGTTTTACCTCTGTTCCTTTCTATGAGCCGCGAACGAACTCACTAACATATTGTTATAGGCGCTGCCTCTCAGTCCGTGACCGTCGTTACCGCATATGATACCCTAGGCGAGGAGGGGCTTAAGCACTCTATCGTTCAAACCGGCAGCACTGCCATCTTCCTCGACCCCGGCCTGCTGAAATCGCTTATCAGTATCCTCCGCAGTGTGCCCTCAATCAAGCACATTATCTACAACACCGACACTGAAATGGACCAGAAGCTTCTTGATCAGTTACAAAGCGAGTTTATCCACATTAATGTGCAGAGCATCGAGGACTTGCGCAAGCAGGGCGAGGAGAACTCCGTGGAGCCTGTTCCCCCCACGCCAGAAGACCTGTGCTGCATCATGTACACCTCGGGCACAACAGGCCCACCAAAGGGTGTGCCACTGACCCACGCCAACGTGATCGCTGCTACCGCGGGTGTTCATGCCGTCATTGGCCCCTGTATCAACCACACGGACTCCCTCCTGACCTACCTTCCTCAGTCTCACATTCTGGAATTCATGTTTGAAAACATCTGCTTGTTCTGGGGCGGTACCATGGGATACGGTAACCCCCGAACTTTGTCCGATGCCTCCATGCGGAACTGCCTGGGCGACATTAAGGAGTTCAAGCCTACTGTTCTCGTTGGTGTTCCGGCCGTGTGGGAGTCAGTAAAGAAGGGTGTCTTGGCCAACCTAAACAAGACCAGTTTCATTGTCAAGGGTATGTTCTGGGGTGCCATGTCGGCCAAGAGTTTCCTCATGAGCACTGGCCTGCCTGGTTCGGGCCTCGGCGCCTCGATTTTGGACAGCGTGGTCTTCAAAAAGCTAAAGGAGGCAACCGGAGGCAGACTCCGTGTTGTCATGAATGGTGGTGGTCCCGTCTCCAAGGACACCCAGAGGTTCTTGTCATTGGCTATCGCCCCCATGATTAGCGGCTATGGTCTCACTGAGACCTCTGCTATGGGTGCCCTGAACGACCCCTTGGCATGGAACCCCGATGCCCTGGGTGAGATTCCTGCCTCGATCGAGGTCAAGCTTGTTGACTTCCCCGATGCTGGATACTTCACCGCAAACAACCCCCCTCGGGGTGAGATTTTCATCCGCGGTGGCAGTGTGACCTCGGGCTACTACGAGAACGAAGAGGAGACTAAGGCTGCGATCACTGAGGATGGCTGGTTTATGACCGGTGACATTGGCGAGTTTGATCGCAATGGCCACCTGAACATCATTGACCGCAAGAAGAACTTGGTTAAGACTCTGAACGGTGAATACATCGCCCTGGAGAAGCTCGAGTCGGTCTACCGCTCATCTCCCGTGGTGGGCAACATCTGTGTCTACGCCGCCGAGGACCAAGACAAGCCCGTCGCAATCATTGTCCCTGCCGAGCCAGCACTTAAGAAGATTGCCAAGGAGAACGGCATCGAGGGTGACACCCTTGAAACCCTCGTTCACAATGAAAAGCTCAACAAGATCGTTTTGCAGCAGCTGCAATCCGCCGGCCGCGCTGGTGGCCTGAGAGGCATTGAGATTATTAGCGGCGTCGTGCTATCTGACGATGAGTGGACCCCACAAAACGTAAGTGATTCTCAAGCTATCTAGAACACGAACTCTGCTAACAAGACACTAGGGTTTCATGACCGCTGCGCAGAAACTCCAGCGCAAGAAGATCGTCGCCCGCTACGAGTCCGAAATCAAGAAGGCTTACGGCAAGAACTAAAAGCAGCGTGTCAGCTGCTTTACTTGAATTTTCTAGCTTCATCCTTGTTTTTTTCTATTTATTTTCCCTGCTGTATTTGCCTGCGCCTTGAGACCCTCTCTGTTCTTTTTATTCTGTCTAATTTATGTTTACATTTTTCTCACCTCTTGCGCTTGCGCTTATTGATATTGTTTCATTTTAGCCACGATGTAGGTGATATAGTAATCAAGTGGACATGAACTGACATCGCGTCGGGTTTATTTTCTATCATGGCCTATATGTTTAGCGCCATCGTAGTCTACAACAGGCTTTTTTGATTGGCCATAAATCCTTTTTCTCGCCCTCTAAAGGATCTGCTCAAGAATCATTCTTACCAAAAGCCAAAGATGTTAGATAAACGCCATACTAAGGTCATTCAAGCATGTCGTTATATTCAGAGACACTATGAATCCAGCAAGCGAAGCGTGTCAAATACAAAAGTACAGTATCTATCATGTCATGTACTATATATGTATATATCGGAGCCTAGAATATCTGAGCATAATATCGATAATGCTCAGATATAGTGGTCTTCTGGCCTAGTTTGTAACTCGACAGTCCAGGGGCAGGTTGTAACAATATCATAGCCAATTCTTAACCGCCCGCATCCCACCGCGACGCGACGGGAAGCTCGTTCGGACTACACCCCTCTCCCCATAAAGGCCATATGAACCAGTGCCAGTATTTTTTGGCTTTGGAATAATGACGCGGAATGTTCCTAATATCCTCATGCATCCCTTCAAGGCGTTTCGCCAGTCGCCCTGGGCATCTTCGTCCACCCTTCCATCCCGAATTGACCCGTCCTTACTAGTTGAAGAGGAGAACTCTCCCTACTACGAGCCAGCCTATTTTTACCCGACACGGATTGGTGAAATCCTTAATGACCGGTATCAAATTGCGACCAAGCTTGGTCACGGAAGCAGATCGAGTGTGTGGCTTGCAAGGGACCTTTACCAGTTTGTATTGGCCTAATCACATTTTAAGATATATATTGACAGTTTAGGTGGCGCTGGTTAAACGAGCGATATTTGGCTCTTAAAATTAACTCCAATAATTCCCACGCACAGAAAGCTGCTGGTGGCGTTGAGCTGGAGGTTATGCGACATATAACAAGAGCGAATCGTCATCATGAGGGCTGGCGTTTCGTTCGAAAATTACTTGACTCGTTTTCTGTCCAGGAAATCTCAGGGAGTTATGTATGTCTCGTCTTCGAACCTTTACGTGAGTCCCTGGGAAAATATTGCAAACGATGGCAAGATGGCGTGATGCCACCGGAGATTTTCAAAATAATCCTCCAAGAAATACTCCAAGCGCTTGATTATCTCCACACGGAATGTCATATCATACATACCGGTAAGAACTCTTACTTGTGTTAGTTAACAATATGGTTCTTATTCAGAAGCAATAGACTTAAAGCCGGATAATATCATGGTACAACTGGAAGATCGTGAGCTCTTATCCCAGGATGCTCGAGACGAGTTTGAAAACCCACTACCCCAGAAGCATTGCAATGATGGACGCATCATATATCTGTCTCGTAAGGGCTATGGACCACTGAAGGACATCATCGGACTGATTGAAGTCGTCGACTTTGACCTAGCAGTCCCAGGTGATATTCTTCAGCATGGCTGTATCCAGGTGGAGGTATATCGTGCGCCAGAGGTCATCCTTGACAAAGGGTACACGTATAGTGCTGATATATGGAGCCTAGGAGTCATGGTACACAGTGTCCCCCAGCCCCAAATACTAGCGTATGGCTAACCAAATGAAGCTATGGGATTTTCTAGAAGGACGAACGCTGTTTGAATCAGTTGATCCACGCATAGTTGAAGATTATGATGACGAAACGCATCTTTCGTATATAACGTCGCTTTTGGGTCCTGCCCCTAAAGACTTTGTTCGCCACGGCAAGAGGACATCGATGTTCTATACGGACGCTGGTAAGAGAGTCCTTCAATTAAATATCTTATGTATAACTAACACTGCATTTTAGGAACACTCAAAAAGGAAGACCTTGTCCCTAGCAACTTTAGCTTTGAAAGCACCCTCTCCAAGTTTGACGGGGAAGAAAAGAGAATGTTTATTAGCTTCGTCAACCGGATGATCAAATGGAAACCCGAAGAGCGGAGTACGGCGAAGGAGCTACTGCAGGATCCATGGCTTCACAATGATTATCCGAAAATATGAGGCTGTCTTCCATCTTTCTTCAGCGATTATTCTGTCAAACCGGCGATGGTAAGCTAGGAGTTATTAGGGAATTAGTCAGGCGACGGATATCTCTTATGTACATAGTTCCGAGTAATCTACAAGTATCACGGGGAGTGTCAATGTACCTGACAGGATCTGACGGCAGACAAAAAAACAAACGTTCGAACCCGTCGCACTGGTACAAATTGAGAGTATACAACATAGTAGAGCCCTCCAGTTTGCTAGCAGGTACCAAGCAATCCCGTGACCAGAAGTGTAGATATCTCCACGTGACTATCCCCATCAACGTACCATATTGAAAGTCAAGTCACATATTACCCCATCATTATTTCCCTCCAAGACTAGAATACCTTCATTCCCAGTCCAAATGTCTCTCTGGAGGTACGTAACACAGTCTTTGCCGACCAACCTGCACACACCACACCCGGACACCACGAACCACGGCAAAGAAACTAACAAGCTACCCAGCTCCTACCGCAACCTCGCCCCCAAAACCCGGGCCTTGTTTGGTATCGGCGTCATGGCATGGGCAGGTATCGGACTCTGGACCACGCCGCAGGTAGAAAGCGCATTGGGCATGCAGCCCTCAAAGGAAGAGCAGGATGCACTGAATCGGAAGCTGGCAGTGCGCGTGTCGCGTGTCGGAGACGAAGGGGAATCGGATACCCGGACCAACTGAGAAATTGAGGAGTCAACGGACAAGCCTGAGAACGGGACTCTAGGAACTCATGTGATCCATGGGCTGATGCGCTACGGTGCTTGTAGTCGGCTGTGATTATCGGGAAGTCATGGGTGCAGTTCTCACGGAACCCCGGGCTTGCTCGCGACTGGTCAGGAAAGAAGGTGGGAAGATACTTTGTTGGCTGCCAGGCTGGTATGGAAGGAAGTCTTTCCCTGGATATCTTGAGCCCCGAAAACTCAATTGCAATATTGCTCTGCAATTCTCTGCATCCGTGCCCGGTATCTAAACAACTGCCTCACCCGGTGCGTCTATCCATCGGGACTCCGGGATTGAAAAGACAACCTGATGGGTCGGGAGGTCACTTATACGGTAACTACACGGGAAGCGGCCATAGCGACCCTGCCATTCTAGGGCTGTTTGTCTCTTCGTGCGCCAAGACAAAAAAAAAACAAACAAGCTGTGGTCAGTGGCCAGTGGCTGATGCCCAGTTCTGCGTCTGAGAGTTTTGATCTACGCATGCACGTCCCTGTCGGAAAATTCACAGGAGTGAGTGGGCTGTTGCCGTACCCTGTATTTGTCCACGTCTGTCCGTGCGGCTGCAACGACCCCGGCTCCAATCGCCCTGTTCGCAGCGCAGGGAAGTATTGGCTTGCTGCAGTCAGCGGCTGTCTTCCCCTGCCTAGACTCAACGGACGTTTTTTTTTTTCTTTCCCTGTCTGGGGCATGGTTGGGTATTCCTATGGCTCGGAATGATTGCTGCGGCTGAGAGTGGATCGTTGCTTAGCCTGGTCCGGATCGTGACATGTTGGTTGTTGTGCTGAGTGGCCAATTAGAGGTTGATTTTAATTTCCGAGATTTCTCTTTTGTCCGATTGGGAAAGTGATGCGAGGGGCAGTTGGTCTGGTTGAGATTGGGTGCTGTTGATTTCTTTGAGATGCTGGGGTGTCTTGCTTTTGTATTTTGATCATGGGGTCATATCATATATTTGGAATATGTGTGTCTAGGTTAGCTTCTACTGTTATCTTGAATATCCGAATTTATCCTAGACCTCACGCCTATACAGAATATTAGATGGTAGATGGGACCTCTCTATAAAGTCATATTCTGAGGTAATGCTAAACAATCCTACCAAGCACCTTATACCAATACCTCAAATGAGCATATAATAGTAGTGCGGCTCTAAATATATTGTTTCGGAGATTAGTTTATGATATCACTTATAATGTAGCACGAGGGACCTTTTGACCATGAAAGATATCTTGTACATCCCAAGATCGACGATCAATTCGGGTATCGGAGATTTAATCCATATGGATACTCCGGCTTGGTCACGCCAGTCATAGCATCTGCTTTTATTCTATTCATAGATGCCATGATCTCATCCATACTTCTAGTTGCCCGAAAAGGCTATTTGTTTACAATATTACATCGCACAGATCTACGAACAGGTCATGTGCTTTCTGGGTAAGACAAACCTAACACCATGCTAGGAGGCCGTTGACGTGAAACATGGAGATAGAAACCATCCTGGAGGCCCGGGGTAGACAAATGGGCTGATCTAAATCTCGATCTGGAAGAGCCAGCTGCTTGGAACATAGCCAACTACATGAACATAGGAACTTGTTTCTTGCTCGTACTGCGTCTAAGGACATGATTATTAAATAATGGATAGGGTTTATATTGGAGGGAGTCATGTCATCGACAGGGGTAGTCAAAGATCGCGGAGATATGTAGAATCACCGATGACTCTTGAAGATCTCGGACTTATTGGGCTAAATACAAAGAATAACACAGATTGCCTTTTGGACGTCTTGGCATGATGGGGGAGTGGGTTGATTATCGTCGTACTGACAACCCAGGGTCCATTACTTCAGGCTTGTGCCTTGCTGCTATATCAGAGTTTCCTTGCTATTTACTTTGAGCTTTTAGCTAGATTTCTGAGAATTTATTATCACATATTTATTAGCCAGGATTTCTGCGTTGGTATTTGATGTTGATGCTACTGAGCTACATTGGCTAATCTTGACTGAAGTGATGTGGAATTTTAGGCCAGCCCGGGGAATGTGTGTGTAGTCTTCACAGATTTATGATAAGGATATTAAGTGTGGAAAGTGGTAATAAAGCCAAAGAAGTACATATGTGTTTTTCAGACTTTGGTACTGGGTCTCAGAAATGAAGCTTGGTATATGAGATGTACAAGGAAAGGACTCATATGACATGCATGAGAAGGATAGAACATAGGGAGTTGTTGTAGACGCAGCAGTAGAGGCAGGGGCTGCAGGGATAATCTGCATTTGAACATTATGAAAATATTCCTTCTGAGGGTATATTATTCTGTATTCGGTATCAGAGTATATTGCCAAATAGACGGTATATCATCTATGTAAGAGCAGAGAAGGAGCAGGAGCCGGTTAGCCGGGTAGAGACCAACAGCAACGTGACCTACTTGACCGTACCTAGGTAATGATAGCAGATACAGCGGTCAGGCTATATCATATCATTGTTGTGTTCTAGAGATAATATGTGTTATGATTCTATGGATTAGAGAATATGAGAGAAAGAGATATGTAACGAAATAGAGGTAATTTAGTCAAGATTAATCCACAAAAAAGTATAATTAAGAGAGCAGAGGTACGATCTCGCTACCATGTCGATCCGAGTATACTGCAGGTGTACACACCATAAGAAAGAGTGGCAACTATCAAAATGCCACCATGGTCCACTATGATCCACTATGATGAGAGACTAAAGACTAAACTATTGTTGTTTAGTAAAAAAATAAGAATGCCACAGCGCCTAGGATTGTTCTTTTGCCCGACTTCCCTTGTACGACGTGCAGAAGTACCTATCCAACCGGCTCTGAGTAAATATAACCAATGATATCAGATCTACCCCAAGAAAATGGATGTCCACGGATGTCTGAGCGTTTTCCTTAGCTAGTAATATTGATTTCCTTGTATATCCCAGTGGCGACGAGATATAAACTTGGAAGCTGGACTTGAATCCCAATTGTTTCAGATAAAAGTCAAAATAGTCATAACAAAACCTTTCTGTTGCTACGGAGTACTCCGTATATCTCTCATCTCTTACCAAATACAGACGTTACTACCCCCGGACCACCACAGGATGTTATCGACAGGGATCAGAGTGTTTAAAACAGATGCCGAGGCCCCCGGGACATCAAGGATCAACTAATGTGACCATTTCATTGGAGAGCCCTGGAGAGATTGAATTTACTAAGCATGAGATCAAATGGTCACACAAAAAGGCTGTTTTGTTTCAGCTGATAGAGACTTGAAATATAATTTATCGTCTTTTAAGATACAATCACCTGCTCGTCGATCAAGATCTGCACCTTAAGACTTACTTTTAACATATTAACTTAAAAATTACTTACAATCTCTGTTGCCTAGAAAAGAAAATAACCCAAACTAACCCTTTCTAAACTCTCCAAATAGGCTGTTGCTCGATTGGCCCTAATAATCTGCATCTTGCCGTGTCTGCACCGTGTCTGCACGTACACACTATACGGAAATAGTACCCACCTTTGGAATGTTTCAAGACCGCGGAGCCTCTCTAGAAAAAGGAAATATAAGATAATCACTAGGATCAGCTTTAATCTTACATTCTAATGAACCCAAACATTCCCGCGGGAAACCCATGCTTACTATGTAATCATCAGAAGAGGAAGCAGATTACCGGGGTCATGTTATTGGATAAGAATCAAACAAAATAGAAAAGTAAAATGAAAAAGGCAAAAGCAAGGCAAAACCGCATAAGTCCATATCCATTGTAAACAGAACTGGCCCTGCAATAGAAGACCAGGACCACATCAAATAACGGTTCCTAGCTATCCAACAGAGCAAATCGGGGAGTTTGAATGTTGGACTGGTTACCCTATATGGATTAGAGGGGTTTGATTTTGTACAAATATACTTGTTCAATGAAGTATGATCTCAAGTCCAGATCTTAATTCCATTCTATCCGGGTATTTGTGAAGTCTTTAGTGGCATTCTGTATGCTTCTTTTTTTTTGGGCGCATGATAGAAATGGAATATCTCGAGAGCTGAAAAAGTAGATCAAAAATAGAATCACAATGAAATAAAAGCCAAGTCCACTAATCAGAATAAAAATAATAAAAATAAAACATTGAATAGAAGGCCTCATGATCCCCCACGCCGTCCTGCACCCAGTGCATAAACCCTTTCCCATTTCGTAGCGAGATAAAATAAAAAAACGAGAGAGATAATCCAAATCAAAAGGCACAGCCTAAGTGCATAGACTATGCGAATTCTGGATCGGATCGTAGCGGCTATAAGTTGTTGAATAGACCGGGTCATATCCACCAGCATTAGACTGGCGATGTTGGTGGCTGGGGACCCCCGTATAGGTATTATCCTGATAGGGATCTGATTTGAGGTAAAGGTCAGACTTGATCGTATCCATGGGGTCCATGGTGTCAATCATTGAGTATTCGAATCCAGAAGAAGAGGAAGAGGAGATGAGAGGACTGTCGCTGAGTGGGGAATGATCGGTGATGTTCATCTTTCTATGATCGGTTCTGCCATAAGATAGCCCACTGCGATGCGACGTGTCGTACATGAGCATGTGTGAACGGCCCGTTTGGCCCAGTCCATGAGGAAGGACACAGGTGTTATCTCCACCAGCCCCATCGGGTCCCATACTGCCAGTACTGCCACGGCGTCCATCCTTGTAATGGCCGGGTGAACGCCCGCGGACGACAAGGGGGTGGGAGTGGCGCCGGGCGATTTGGATCCACTCAGTTTCACCTGGGACCGAGCTAGCAACCTCAGCGTACAGCTCAACGACCAGATTGTAATATTGTTGCTGGGCGCGGCGCTTGCCATTGTTGGCGGTCGCCTTTTGGAATTGGATACGTTCAAACACATGGGAGGTTGGGGGCTGACATGGTTGAGGTGTTCCTGAGAAGGAAGGGTTGTAATCCATAGATTGCGAGCCAAGGGGGAAGCCCGAAA